GCGCGCGCTTCACTCGCACCCAGCCCGCGAGGAGGGGCCGAGGCGGCGCCGCCTGCAGAGCCCGCCTGGGGACACCAGCCAAGGTTATTTCCTGGGGCCAGCGCGTGCGACTGGGCTGTCGGAGGCTCCTCTCAGGCCCTCCCGGGCCTGTGCGGCGTCCCTCAGCGCAGCCCCGGGCCACACCTGGGGTCCACCCGCCTCGGCACAGTCGCCTGCTGAGGTGCCGGGTCAGTGCGTCTGCACGGGAAGTTAGGGGACGCCATTTGGTGGCCCTAGAAAGCTTGGTGTCCCCTACATTTGCTTGTTCCCAACCCATGGTGGTCCTGTGTGCCACCACCTGCCCCGGCTCCTGTGAAGGATGGGGGTCCGGGTCAAACATACCCTTCTCCCACCTGGCCGACTGCTAGGAAGGGGTATTTGGGGCCCGCTGGCCTCCCTAGGGGCCCTTACACAGTGGCTTCTCTTGGGGGAGCTTCGCGCACGATTCCACCATCAAACTGGGCAGGGTGTGTGTGTGTGTGTGGCAGCAGGTGGGGCTGGTTGTGGTGTCGGCAGCCCTGGCTCCGCCGTCATCTGTGGACACCTGCAGTGTCCAGTGTAGGCAGGCCCCTCAGACCACTGTTCTCTGCGGGGGCGGCAACAGAACCCCCATCTGTGAAGAGTTGGGAGGGAGGGGTGTCGGGCATTGGTGCTAACAGGCTGAGGCTGAAGCAAAGCCTGAGTGGGGGAGGTTGCCCAGGTCCCTCTCCCCCCCATGGTGCCAGCACTCAAGAGCTCGGAGGACGGGGACTGCTGAGAGACCACGCCCCGGCAAGACCACGGGAGGGCAGCCCCTTAGCAGGGCAGTCCCACGGCTGGTATGGAGAGGAGAAGAGGGTGCAATCTGGGGGCTGAGACTGGGGTGGCCAGCACGCAGGGGTGCCGCCACCGGCTCACCTCCAGAGCACAGAGGGCGGGCAGCCCTGGCCCTGGCCCTCGCCCGTGGAAGGGCTCCTGGGCCGTGGGCCTGCCCGGCACCAGCCGCCCCCTGCTGGTGGACGCGGGTAGAGGATGTTGACTAGAGGGCCAATAGCGCGGGACTCCGCCCCCACCCTCCAGCACAGCACAAGGGGGCCAGGGCCGTCCTAGGGACCCAGACAGAGCGTTGGGGGGCAGGGAAAATCATGACATAATTCTGCCTGAAACTTTCAGGTGGTTTTGGTTGACGTGACTTACGGATCACACGTGTCCCGCCACCTTGCCCCAGGCCCCCTCAGGTGGTGGCGGAGCAGGGACTGTAACATGCTCAGCTCCAGCATTTCCTGCAGGGCGCAGCCCTTCGCCAGATGTACTGTGGGTTTGTTTCTTGGTGTCGGTGCCAGTTTATGGTGTTAGGGTAATGCTGCCTTCATAAAGTGTTAAAAGTGTTCCCTATTCTTGGAATTTTTAAGAAATAATTGGGGGCCCTCCCTGGTGGCACAGCGGGTCAGGACGCAGCCCTACAAGCCAGCTGCAGCTGCTTCCGTGTGAGTTCGAGCCCCGCCCCGGAGGTGACCCACAGGGAGCTGCAGACCGCTCCTGTCTTGCTGGCTGCTCCCCTCAGCAGTGCACTTCATCGACCTGCCTGTCCTGCTCCCCACTCTGCCTCTGGTGAAGCCTCTCACTGCCCCTACACCTCTGGCTTGTACCCCAGTTCTGTGTGCATAAATAAATCTTTAAAAAAAATAATTGGAGTAAAGGAGGGATAAGTTCTGCTTTTCAAAGCCTTGATGAAATTCATTTGTATAGCTGTTTGGTGCTGGGCTTTTGTTTGGGGGATTTTTTTAAATTATCGTTCAATTTCCGTAACTGTGATGGGTCTACTCAAACTGTTTCTTCCTGGCCCAGAAGTGGTAAGCTCTACTGCTGTAGAAATCGACCCATTTCCTCAACACTCTGCACGCACCGGCATGTTAACAGTTCACAGGGACCGAAGACCCTTTGCATTTACAGCTGCACTGAAGCCTCACTTCTCCTGTTTTCCCTGCTGATGTGGCTGAAAAGGCCTCCCTGGGGGCGCGGGGATAAGGCGCAGCACCATGAAGCTGGCCCAGCCCCCGCGGCCTGAGTGCGACCCTGCCAGGGAGGGACCCCAGGGCTCAGCAGGCCCCTCCTGTCTCCCCCTGCCCCACTCAGCAGTGGGTTTCGGTGACCCCACCTGCGCTGCTCCCCACTATCTCTGGGGCGTGCTCTCAGCTCTGCACCTCTGGCCTGCACCCTGTACCTGTATGCGTAACTCTAAAAAAAGGTGGTCAGATATTTACGTCTTTTTAGCCTTGTCTCAGGACTCTCTGTGTCACTGCTCTTGCAGGGTTTCACATTTTTCGCTCATACCTGCGCTAAGTCCTGTCACTTCCTCCGTCCCCTGACCTCTGGTGCGGACAGCGCCATTCACCGTGTCCTTGCACCTGCCCAGCTGCTGTGCCCTCTGCTCCAACTCCCTCCTGGGCCCAACCCGAGCCTGCAGTCTTGCCTGGAGGCCAGCTGGCCGCCAGGGCCAGAAGCACGGCCCGCAGCTGTGCTCTCCGCCCGGCGCCTGGGCCAGTGCTGTGCTGGCCGGAGCCTGATGCTACTTTGTGACGCCCCAACCAACGCATGCCACCAACTGCAGCAGCGCTCACCTGACACCCCGGCAAGCAGCAGAGGGGTAACTGCACCAAGCACTGATGTGCTGCGCCCTGTCGTGGGCCTGTGACACCGGCACCTGCACACACCGTCCTCCGTGAGCAGCGACCCGCCCACCACAGGAAGCGAAGGGGCTGCCCACACCCTGCTGCCCGGCTGGAGCCCCAGCTGGAGCCCCAGCTGAGGGGCTGTCTTTTGGGCAGGTGCTCCTCCTGGGAGGCCAGGGGGCCCTGCCCTGGGCAGCAGGAAGCCTGAAGCAATTGGATTGTTTCCAGACGTTTCCATCTTGGCCTGGTTATCTGACTTGCAGTTGCTGCTGGCTGGTTTTGCGCCCTGCCTTCCTCCGTCCAGGCAAACCCCGCCCTCACCCAGTCACACAACATCTCGCAGGGGCGTTCTGAGACGCGCGTCTCGGGCCTCCGCCCCGCATGGGCGACGTGCTGTGCGCACACACAGACCTGAGCCCAGTGCGCGCCTCGGCAGTGACCACGTCCTGCAGCCTGATGCTGGCCCAATGTGGACGTGGGCCCCGGCGTATGCCGCTGCGCCCCAGCCCCGGCCCCGTGCTCATTCCGAGGCGCTCCCGCAGGCGTCCACAGAGGTAAGCACGCACATAGCCCTGTCGTGGCCCACCCACACCGTCGGCAGGGGCACGGCTGCCACTGGCGGGCAAGGCGAGGCGTGTGCCGCTGGGTGCAGCGCCAGGCCCAGCGCAGGCCGTCCAGCCACCCCGTGAGGCTGGAAGGGGTCCACTCCGGAGCAGTGCCCCCACAGGCCAGGGTTGGGAGGCCCTGGCTGCCCCAGGGCAAGTGCTGGCATCCTGTCTCCCTAGAGGAGCATGGCGAAGCCCAGCCTCAGCTGCTGGCAGCGAAAGCGCCAAACTGGCAGCCCCCCACAGCGCCCTGTGCCCCGCGGGCCGGCCCTGCCCCACCAGCGGCCCCCAGCCATCTAGCCGGCCTGAAGGCGCCTGAGAGCGTGACTCCTGAAGCCAGTTTCATGAACGTGGGCTTCTTAGACTGAAGCACACTTTAATCTTCCCCGACTAAGAACTCAGAAACAGAAACTTAACACCTTTATTGTCTGAACACAGTCACGCTACCTGCCAAACCCTCTGATTTCCAACACGTGGACTAAGAATTGTAACGTAAGTGAAAATCTAACGGCTACAGACCTGAAATGAATTTAACCAAAATTAGGTATTTTCCCTCAGGGAAAAAAATCCGAGCATGCCACGTGGCTGTTCAGAGAGCACGGCTTCTCCAGGTGTCAAGTGGGCAGCCTGGTCTCCTTGGGGGCCGCTGACCCCAGAACAGGCGTGCGCCCCAGGCCTGCACGAAGGCCAGCTGCCCGGCACGCGCCTGCAGTCAGCGCCCAGAGCTCTTTCCAAATGAAGTCTGCTCGAGCAGTTTCCCCAGAATGTTTAATGCAGTGATCTTCTGTGTCTAGAAAGGACTGCGCTCCGATCCTTCCCAGCCATCAGAGGCCCCCGCCCGCCCCCACAGAAGGGAAGCAGCGGCTGTAGAAGGCCGGACGGGGATGCGCAGCGAAGTGGCCACCTCGGCGACTCAGGTGCCCAGCACGACCAGCTTGTGCAGCTGGTAGAGGAAGGTGCTCTCGCCGCGGCCGCCCTCCTTCTCCGCCTGCTCCATGACCAGCTTTGGGTCAACCTGGCAGGCAAGGGACCATCAGCTCCACAGTGGCCTGGGCAGGCGGCTCAGCCTGGCCCCGCGCACTCACCTGATTCCACTCATACGGCCTCTCGTGCCACTTGGGAGTAATTTTATCTCTTGGCTTCCACTGACAAAACAGACTAAAATTTGAAAGAGAAAATTAAGATATTTTAATCATCTGTTGTGAAAACAGTACTGGGTTGTTCTTGGAAAGACTTAAACCCTACATCGTTTCCCTCAGAAACGTGACGACTGCAAGTTTTTAAAGGTCAAAAGTCATCCACTGGGGCCCTCCCTGGTGGCGCAGCGGGTTAAAGCACAGCACCTAGAATCTAAAGCCGCTTCCGCATGAGTTCGATTCCTGCCTGCCCCGGAGGTGACCACAGGGCACGGCAGACCTCTCCTGACCCGCCCACTGCTCCCCTCAGCAGTGTACTTCGTCGATCTGCCTGTTCTGCTCCCCGCTCTGTCTCTGGTGAAGCCTCTCACCGCCCCTGAGCCTCTGGCCTGTACCCCAGTTCTGTGTGCACAAATAAATCTTAAAAAATAATTATTATATTAAAAAAAAAGTCATCCACTGCGATAAGAGAATACTCTCATCTGCTGTGCACTCAAAACAGCGAAAGCCAAGGACGAGACTGGCCTCCGGACAGGACCCCATGGCCTGCGGCCGCACAGGGGCAGCTCTGGGCCCAGGGACACTGCGGCCGCCTGCTCTTGGGCAGCCCTAATGGGCTGCAGTGCCCTCAGCTGCAGGCAGCGCGAACATCTTAAGGGGAAGGTGGGATCTGGTCTGAGCCCCAGCCGCCCAGCGCCCCAAACAGAAGTGGCCAAAAGCAGCCTCCAGGAGGCTCAGGGAGCCTCCGGGCCGGGACTTGCTGCTCTGAGCGCTGCCGGGGATGGGTGCTCTCCCTGGGTGGCTACCCCCAGGCCTCCCATAGCACCCCTATGCCCAACTGTCAAGAAGGCTTGAGGCTAGCAAAGGAACAGGGGACCAGCCTCCTGGAAAGCACAGCCGACCAGCATTGGGCAAGGGACCGGGAGCGAGAGTGCCACGGGGAGCCGAGGACACGCGTTGGGGGAGAGATGGGTGGCGAAGAGCAAGGCCGAGAGAGACAGCAGAGCCAGGACAGTGCCGACGGGAGTGGCGGAGAGGGCGGGCGGGCAGGCTCAGACGCTCAGGTGCCCACGGGAGCTCAGGGCAGGTGGCGGCAGTCAGGAGCGGCCACACCGGTGCTGCACAAGGCCGGCCAAGACGGCAGGCATGAACCCTGCAACCCCGCCCAGGGAGCAGCCGGGCAGCAGAGCCCAGCTAGGGAAGAGGCCGAGCAACCCCAGCGCAGGACACGCCTGCTTCTCCAGGGACCGCAGAGCAAGACTCAGAACGCAAGGACGGGAGGGCCCCGGCAGCAGGGTGCATCACACCGAGAGATAAGGAGAACTGGAAAAGGCCCAAGTCCCTGGGGAGCTAAGAGCCCACCATCGGTGAAGACAGCGTCCAGCCTCCCAGGGCGCATGCCAGTCCCAGGCCATGCTGCCTCCCCTCCCCGCTGAGGCTGGTGCACGGGTGGGTGCGGCTGGCCGGGGCTCCCCGCTCTGGCCAGGCAGGGCACAGGCCCCGTTTTCACGGCTTCCAGCAAAAGGGACCAGGGACCAGGACGCGCTGGTGGTCTCTGGTGCCCCCTGCAGAGTAGGCCTCGCCCTCCGTGTATTGGTCTGAGCCCACCTCCCTCACAGCAGGGCCTTCTTTTGGAGGGCCCAGGGCTCTGCAACTCAGACATTCCGTTTGCAGTCTCCTTTCAGTAACTGAAGAGCCTGGGAGCCAGCTGGGCCCAGTCAGGACTGGGGCATCCGGCTGCAGGAGCCTGCGGAGAAGGGCATCAGGACAAGCTGGGCTCTGGGGCCAATGGGGCCTCCAGGGCGATTGGGTGAGTCCAGCAAGTGGGGAGGGAGGCCTGGGGGCCGGCCCTGCCCTTGGCTCTGGGGGAGGCTGGAGGGGCCCAGCCCCCACACATGGTTGGCCCCACCCCAGGGCCCCGCTGTTTGGGAGGCGCCCTGAGGCTGCCCAAAGCACCCCTCATCCGTCTGCCTTCACGCCGGCGGGTCAACCACCTCGCAGCATCTGCTCCCCACCGCCTGGGGTGGCCACACAGGGACTGCGCAGGCCCCCACTCACCTGAGCAGCTTCTGGCGGGCGCTGTCCTGCAGCTGCGCAATCCTCTCTGGCCCCAGGTACCTCAGCCCGTTGGCCCCATCGCACACCAGCTTGTTCACTGCGGCCCGGAGAATGTTGATCTGTGGAGAGAGGGCGGCAGGGTCACCAACCCTGCCAGTTGGCGATGGTGCGGTCACCCAGCGGCACAGCCAGCAGCAATTGCTGTCCTGAGTCAAAGCAGCAGGAACAAAAGACATGGAGAGAAACAAGGTGGAAATCGGCGAGCGAGCCAGGCCGGGCCTGTGGCCCCCTTGCCACCCGCCCTGCGCCGGGCTCCCCCCTTGCCACGGGCCTGCAGGAATCCTCACGGAGTCAGGCCTGTTTCCTGGTGGTCCTGGTCACCACATGGGGGCCTGTGTGCGGTGAGGACGGGGCCGCCCAGGCCCACCCAACCTCCCTCCCGGGGCCGCAGGCCGCCCCAGCGGGAACCCTGGTGCCCACACCTGACGCCTGCACATTTCCAGGACACCCGGGCAATGCCAGGGCCCCGCAGGCCCTGGGAGCGGCGTCCGGTCACGTCCTGCCGCCCGCATCCTCGCTGCCCTCGGAGCACAGCTCCCGTGCCCCACTCCCGGCCCACGCCCTGCCACTGCCTCCGGTGCGGCCACTCAGCTTCCAGGGACAGCTGTATGTGCGCCGCCCCTGCGTTGAATGCTTCTCTGCTCTCAAGCCCCTTCCGCAGGGCCGGGGTGGCCACCGTGCCCCACCCCTCACTGGCCTGTTTCCTGCTCGAGGCTACCCTCTGATACAGTCGCTGCAGCTCAAGCCGCTGGCAGCCCTGGGTTAGGGTTGCCACCGCTAGGCTGGACGGCTGACCTATGTGTCCTGCCTTTTCCACGACAGGGTTTGTTCTGAGCAAAAGTGTGGTTTGGATAAAATCCAACTGACCAATCGTTTTTCCTTCTCGTGTTGTGCTTTTGGTGCTGCGCCCACAGCCAGCCCAGGCTGCAGGTCTGCCGTGTCTCGCCTGCAAGCTATGGTCTCAGCAGCACGCGTAGGTCTGAGACCTGAAGAGCGCACTCCAGCCCTCCAGCTCCTGCTGGAGCGTTACGGCTGAATGACGTGGCCCGAGCACAGGCTGGGGGGTCGGACGCCAGGCCGTTGGCCTGCCTGTGCCAGGGCTGCTGAGGAGGGGGCTGGGGCGAGTACCAGGCCTAGCCACGCAGGACACCGCCCCAGGGCAGCCTTGCTCCTGGCTTTGTGAAACACAACAAAGCTGAATGAACGCAACAAGACCCCGTGAGAGCAGTGCACAAAATAGAGGCCGCGGCTCTGGTCGCCAGAGTGCAGTGTGCACGCCCCTCACCGCCTGCTGGCCGGCTTCTCCACTCGGCCCGCCTGTGCTGAGCAGCGCGAGCCACAGTTGGGCCAGGGGTCCTGGCTGGGAGCGAGGCGAGGCGAGGCTCCGGTGGACCATCAGCGGCCCCACCGTCCAGGGCCTCATGCCACTGTCAGGAGAGCCCCAGGGCCTGGCGTCACCGGTATGAAGCCCAGAGAGCGCCGTCTGCAGGAGCCACACCTGCGAAGAGTCGCACCAGGGCGCGGCATGTGCCATGCCTCCCGCCTGTCTGTCGCGGTCCCCAACCGCAACCGGCCTGGGACAGGCAGGCCTTACCTCCATGATGTCCTCCACACTGAACTGGACGTCGAAGGCCAGCTCGATGTCGTGCTCTGGCAGGATGGGGGTCCGTGTGGTGGGGTTCCAGCCCAAGCCACAGAGGACTCCAGTGTAGCAGGCTCCACCCCGGTCCACCCTGGGTGGGGGTTGGAGAGGGGTTACCGCTGCAATAACGTCACCCCACTTCACCACATTCACCCAACTGTACGACAGGGTCAGCCCAAACGCTGACGTAGTCAACATAAGCAGCTCATTCCACTTTCGCGCTCTCGTGCCGCTTTTACGCTGGAGACGGGGGTTGGGGGGTCGGGGGGAGGTGTAGGTGCACGCTTGGAACAGCAAGCCCAGCATCTCGCCACCCGCTTCTGTTCCAATTCTCACCACGGCTGGGAACCCGCAGAGCCTTGCCACAGCTCGCCCCTGCCTCTGAGCCACTTCCCCGCACTCACCCTCGCCGAGGCCACGGGGTGGCCCGGCGCGGTGGCCACCTGTTCACCTGCCTATCGAAAGTAACCGACCGGGGAGATTTGCTGCAGCACACTGCCCCCGCCGCCCCGTGCCACGCCCCTAGGTGTCTGGTGCTTCACTGCACAGCACAGCCCACGCCACCAGCGAGCTACTGAGACTTGTGCATGGCTGGCACCTGCGTCCCCCACCCCCTGCCGGCAACTCACAGCAGGGCAGCAGGTCGTCCGCACAGCCCCAGCCTGCACCCCTGTGCCAAGGCTCCCAGGGCCCCCAGCTGCGTGCTGGGCACCACAGGTCTAGCCCCCTGGTCGTGGCCGCCCCCAGCCAGGCCTCGCTCCCCAGGGAGCAGGGGCTCTGCAGCAGGAGCCCCAGCCCCACCCCTGCAGCCTCTGGGGCCCAGCACTGGGCCAGCCCCGGGGTAGCCGGAGGGAGCCAGCAGACGCGGATGTGAGCACGCTTCGAGTCCGTCCAACTCAGAAACTCAGTGCCACCCCATCGCCGGCAACAGCGGTCTCCTGAACGCCAGTCCGAGCCAACATGGGGTTTCTTCTGAGTCCTAAAGACACACAACATGCCTGTAAAACTAGAAGGAACCCCACTTGAGCCAAGAGGAGGCCCTCGACTCAGACCCACACGCCGGGCACGTACCCAGTTGCCGCGGCCGCCTCCTGCCTGTCGGATACGCGGCTCGCAGCCTCCGGCCACACAGCGCGTCCCCCGAGTGGACAGCCAGCCAAGGCCAGGCACGCAGTCCACTGATGAGCGGCTCTCACTGGCCAGTTAGACCTCAAGTGGGCACGAGGCCACCTGAGCACCGGTGCAACTCTCCTCAAAGAAGCCCGGTTGTCCCCATGACCCCGAGACACAGACACCGAGACCCTGAAACACATTCGCACCCCAGTTGCGCAGCGCGTGCCTGAGCATCGCCCAGCACGCAGCCAACGCAGTGGGAGAGGCGCGGTTGCGGGGCAGGGGGCGAGGGCGTCCGCGAGGACAGGCTTGGACAAGCGGCGCTGCAGACATGTCCCACAACAAGGTGGCCGGCCCTCAGGCGGCAGGTGGGCGCCAACACGGAGCCCTGTCCTGAGCCCGCTGGCACCCCACTGCGCTGACCCGCACGTGTCTGGCCTGCTCCAGCAGGACCCACCAGCTGCTGCTGAGCACTGCCCTCACGCTGCGACCCAGGCAGCGGCCCGGAGCCTGGGGACGTGCCATGGAGGGGCAGAGGGCCAGCACCCTCCCTGGACCCCTGAGGGTCCTCCTGCCAGCACTGCCCACACTTCCAAGGCCCAGAAGGCACCCCTGCATCACGACTTCTCAGCACAAAACCGTGCATGCACTCGAGCGACCCAAGTGGCCCGCAGCTGAGGCGGCGACCTCATCTCCAGAGACGGCGAAAGCGGCATCCCCGCACTCCATGCTGCCCGCAAAGGGGACACCACACTGCGGGGACCGAGGTGCGCGGCTTCCCCTCAGACGCTGACAGAGCCCCTGCTCTCTCGGACAGGGAGCGGCACTCCCGCTGCCCCCGAGGGTCCGGGCTGGCCACGTGCCGGGAGCACAGACACCACCCTCTCAAATCACCGCTGACAGGGGTGGAGGCGGCTGGGTGGCCTGTGGCGGCGGGCGGAGGCAGCACCCCCAACCTGACCGGCGTGAGTGCACCTGCAGTGACTGTCCTGCTCTCCACTGAGGCTAAACATTTGGGGTGCAAAGTAACTGCTCCCTCCAGATCCAACACCTCTTTCATCTTCGAGTGTTTCTCAGAAGTGTTTGACTCCACACGTCAAAACCAGCCACAACTGGTTTGCAGCAGCGCGAGTCGGCTCCCCAGCCCGGGGCCCACAGACCACGTAGACGTGTCCTCCCCTCAGGTGGGGTTCAACGGGGCGAGGGGCTGCAAAGGGGCAGCCACGCACCTCTCAGCCTCACCTTCTCCAGGAAGGTGGGTTTGAAGCACCAACACTCCGGCCTTGGCCAAGGCCCGGAGTAGCCGCCTGACGCCCCTCACAGCTGTGCCAGGGCCCACAGTGGACACGGGAGGTTCAGACACGCAGGAGGCCAGCGGGGACAGCGCCCTGCTCACAGGGCCATCTTCCCGGGCCTGGACACTGGCGGATGCCAGCACACAGCACTGGAGGCTTGAGGACTGGGAGGTGGAGCAGATGCCCCTCGGTAGGACAGGGTCAGGTGCTGGGGTACCCGTCGGGTACAGAAGCTCAGATGTGGGAAGGGGCCACAGAGCTGCAGCCGAGGGGCACCCCACCCAGAATGCTGTTGAAGGGGAGCACCCCAAATATTAGGTGTCTCTTCCTCCCCTTCAGTTTCTCCATTTTTTTTCTTTAAAGATTTGTTTATTATTTATGCATACAGAACCGGGGTACAGATCAGAGGTGCAGGGGTGGCAAGAAGATCCACGAGAGCCAGAGTGGGGAGCAGAACAGGCAGATTGATAAGGTCCACTGCTGAGGGGGCAGTGGGCGGTCAGGAGGGGTGTGCTGCACAATGGGGGTCAGCCCTGACACGGGGATCGAACTCGCACTCAGCGGCTGTGGCCAGCCTGCAGTGCTGCGCCCTAACCTGCTGCGCTACCAGGGAGGACCCCAGTTTCCCAGGTTTCTAAAGTGCTGTGTCAATGGGAAAGCACACGCCATGATCTTTGGAGCAGAAAACAGTGCTGGACGGTCTGAACTGCAAATGAGGGTGCCGAGCGACCTCAGGCACAGCCTCGCAGGATGCCGTCCCCGCCTCCGCGAGCCACAGGCCACACCATGGTCGCTGCCCACGAGCGGGCCTGCCCCTCACCCAGCCCAGTGGCACACATGCCTCTGAAGACCAAAGGCTCTGTCCAGCCCGATGCAGCCTGGCCCTGTACCCCAAGACCGTGCACCCCAGGCCGGGTGCCCTGGCGAGGCATGAACAAGGCCTATGTGCCCCAGGGGTCCATGCTGAGGGAGCAGGGCGTCGTCCCCTCAGAGCTGCCCTCTGGGAAGCGGCCTGACGCCCCGGGGCAGCACCCCCACAGGATGCGCCTCCGTCAGCCCACCATGAGCCGCCCGCTCTGTGACAGCAGGTCCCAGCCCCCGGGCCCGACCACAGCCCTGACAGGTCTGACTTGGGGCGGGCCGTGCGCCACTTCTGAGAACGCCTCCTCTCCACAGAGGCTGGAGATGCCCCTCTGTGCCCGGCAGCCACAGCCCCAGTACCTCAACTCCATCACAGGGGCGAAGAGCATGCTGAGCAGCGCGGGGAGGCCGGGCACGTGCGGCATCAGCGAGGTTTCTCTCAGCAGCATGGTGGACCCTGTCAGAGCAACAATGAGGGGCCTGCCGCTCGCCCAGACGCCCTGCCGCGAACTGCCCGCCGGCCCAGCACAGGCTGCCTGGGTGACTCCCCACCAGACCACGGGGCGCTCCCAAGCGGGGGCCCGGCCTGCTCTGCTCTCAGCAGGCACAGTGAGAGGATGGAAGACCCAGGGAGAGGCCCCGCCCCCAGGGCAGGAAGCCACACTCAGGGCGCCGGGATGGCTCCCCCTGGGGTCCCAGCAGGATGTGCTGCTCACCAGTGGCATTGACGGAGAGCGAGGCTGCAACCAGCATCCTCTGGTGCAGGTCTTCAGGGGTGTCGCTGATGATGACGGAGTTGATGCTCTCCTTCTCGATCCACACGCACCTGGGGGCCACCACCATTGCGTGACAGGGCCTTTCTGGGCCACCCCACACTGGCCCGGGCAGCAGGCGGGAAGCCATCCACCCACCTCATCTGGCTCTCCACCCCGCCTCATGGCCCCAGCTGTCCATGCTGCGACCCCGGCCTCTGTCCCGCTGGGCCAGCACAGGCCCATCTGGAGGACACGGTGGGGCTCAGTCAGGGCCCCCGCGCTGCTCACACTGCTCAGCCCCGACCCCGGCCTGCACAGCGTGGCTGCCCTGGCGCCCAGGTCCTCGAGCTCACTACACTCCCCACAAGCACCCCATCAGGCCCACACTCCCACCAGCTTTGCCTACACTCCCTGCACCTGGACCCGTGCTTGGCCCTCCACCACCCTCAGGCTCGGGCTTCTTGCCACAGCAGCCCAGGCCTCTGGAGCTTGTGGGCCCTCAGGTGCTCTCACAAGGCTCTCGTGCCCCAGCCACGCCAGCCCGTCCCACTTGTAACTACCAGTCCTCTCCCACGGATGCCCAACTGTGAGCCCCCGCCTGGGAAACCACATGCTCTGCTCTCCCCAGCTCCACCCGACCCCAGCGCACGCACAGCGGCACTCAGGTTCACGGAGTGAGCAGCAAGACCAGAAAAATGCCGCGCTGGAAGGGGCGCTGGCGTGGGGCGCGGGCCAGACCCGGGGCTGGGGCGAGCAGGGGCAGCAGGCGCTGGCCCTGGCTCCCACGGGGCGCCCTTAGCGGCAGCGGGCCGTGGCCTCACCTGAACTTGGACACCCGGGTCAGGCTGTGGCACTTGAGCTCGTAGGGGCTGAAGGGGCCATGGAGGATGGCCTGCGAGCAAGGAGAGGACAGTGCGTCACCGCACGGCCTCACGCCCCTGTGAAGTCCCAAGCCGATTAAAGTCAGTCCCGTCAGCCATCAGTCTCCGAAGTGGCGGGAAGCAGCCCCAGAGAGTGACTTTCCGGAGTCGAGCCGATCCCTCCAGGGTCTCATGAATACGCCCCAGTGACACATTTTTTAGGAACCTCGCAGGCCAGAAAGGAACTGGCATGGCTCTTCCCTTGGCACATGCCAGCGGTGGACTGGGAGGCGATGGGCCCCTGGGGCAGGGCACCTGCCCGCAGCCCCTCCCCGCCTGGCTGCACTCCGGGGACAGGCGGCCTCTCTCCACCAAACCCAGACCCTGTCTGCTCAAGCAGGCTCCAGTGGGGGAAATAACAGTGTCAAAGCCAGAAGACAATGACTGTGGGCCGCGGTGTCGCGTGTGCCCTGGCTACGCTGTGCCACCTTGCAGCGCGGGGCGCCGAGCCTGTTGGCGGCCAGGCTGTCCAGCAGGAGGCGGATCAGGCCCCTCTCGGGATCCTTCACCGGAGACGTCGCTGACAGTCCGGCCGCACTGTCTGCAGGCTTGGAGAAGAGACCCTTGAAAACTTCATGGCTTTGCTGGACGGAACAAGAAGAGATTGTTGTGCTGAAAGAAAAGGCCGCGTCGAAAGCACAAGCCAGCCCCCAGCCACCTCTCTTGCCCCAGATCACCACCATGCCAGCAGGTACTCTGACCACGCGCACTTTAAAGTCAACAAAGAGGGGGGACGGGACCCCACGGCAGACCCCCATGAAGACCTTCGCCTGCACCGCCAGGAACTGGGTGCCCAGCAGCCCACCCTCAGAGGCAGAAATAGCCTCGGAGGTGGCTTCAGAGAGACACCTTTGAATGTCTCAGGTAACCAGAAAGGTATTTAGCCACTTCTGCCAGGGAGCTACAGCTTGCACCCATCCTCTTTCGCAGCTCAAACAGGGAGCAGTTGCTTTCCGACCGGCTTTCCCTCCAGAAGTGAAGACAAAGCATGAAGCAGGCACACACGGCCAGCGCGAGAGCGAGTCAGGGACAGGCCAGTCTGCCCCGCGCCCCGGAGCCCCTGCGCGGCCCAGCACACCTTGGACTCGTAGGGTTCCTCCGCCAATTCGGCGTGGCCCTCGCTGACCAGCACGTCCCTGATGCTGGTGGCGTCCTGGGGGCCCGAGCACCGGAAGGCGTCCACGTGCAGCACACCGTGCACCACCGAGAAGACCTTCACCAGCAGGGCGCAGCCACGCACCAGGGAACAGAAGCGCCGGCAGGCCCCGCTGCTCCAGCGCTCCCCGCACACCAGCGACCGGGCCGAGGGGCGCATCTTGCAGATCTTGAACTCGAGCGCCTGCGACAGAAGTGCATGCTGGGCGGGGCGGCCCGCGCCCGCTGGGGGCTGTCCGCCCGATCTCTGGCCACCACGCCCCGCACCTGGCAGGTCCCCACAAGCCTCCACAAACCCGGGGGCGGGGGGCTTCCTGGCTAAGAAACGTGGCTCTGCTTTTAAATGAGAAAGCCAGGTTAGAGTTCCGTCTGCACTGTGCTGCTCCTGGTGGGGTCTCCAGCCCACCTAACTGTTCTCCCTTCAGTCCAACCAGGACCCCCACAATGGGAGTAGAACATGGCTGGTCAAGAGCAACTCCCCTAAGCCCAGCCCCTGCCAAGTCTCCACAGCACCATGTAGTTGGGGGGAAGGAGAAGCCACCCTGGGCTTGGGGGACAAGTCCCTGCACTCGGGCCAGAGCTGAGACGCGGCCCCTGGCAGGCCCAGCCTTGGAAGCGCCCCGCCGCACCTGAAAAGGGAGCTCGAGAAGCTGGCAGGGGAGCTCCATGAGGAGGGCCAGGTCCACGTGAGCCCTGTTGCCGTAGTCCACGAAGAACACCTGGGGAGGCAGGTACCTGACGCGGTGGGCGCCATGCAGCCTGGGGGCCCGGGCTTCAGCCCACACCCCCTGGGGAGCAGCCAGGCTACCGTGTAACCCTCCGTCTTATCTTTGATTTCCACATAAAAGGAAAAATGACAAACGTGTTTCTGTCTTTGTCTTGCTTCCACCTGAGTCATTGCAACTGAAAACATACCTCAGCAGAATTTCCAGAAACATAGAGAATCTGAGCTCTGAAGTAGCTTTCTTTATCAAAGTCTTCAAAGGGAGCCAGACAGACCAAATCCGGATGGGGGTGAACGGGCAGCGGTACCAACTCCAGCTGGTTTATCGTAGCAGTGAGCCTCTTCAAAACACCTGAGTTTTTTGCATCGATCCTGTATCCCCAGAAGTGTCCCACCTCAACCACCTGACAGGAAGCAGCAGTGTGAGAAGACAAGCGGCTGCGGGCATGCCCCGTGACATGTCGCGCTGGCCGAAGGGGACAGAGCCAAGGTGCGGGGTGGAACAGAGAGGCCCGCAAGGTCAGCTGTCAGCTGGTTCCTCAAAGCCAGGGCCCAGCCTAGAAAGGCCCTGAGACGGGGAGAAAGGACGCCCCAGGAGAAAGGGCGGAGCCAGTGCCAGCAGGATGGCTGACCCAGCCAGGTCCAAGGATGTAGAGGCCACAGGGCACCTGGCAGTGATAGGCGTCTGGCACTCAATTTTTATTAAGTTTCATAACAACACAGGATTTTGTTTTACTTTAAGCTACGCTGTTGGCGCATGCTGGGTGGGGGACCAGCCCATGGACAGAGGCCTCCAGCTGGGTACCAGGCAAGGCCTTCCCTCCAGCTGTGCAACCCACTCTTGGGCCCAGGAGGGGCGACTCCCTGACAGGACCCCAGTGGGCTCTCAGGAAAGCCACACTCGTCCTTATGCCCCTGCCCCCCACACCTGCAGCAGACTCGACTCTGAGCCCAGAGACTGCTGAGCCCTGACAACAGGGCACTTGGCCACCGCAGTGTCACTGCAGAGCTGGTGGCCCTCCGAGGAGCAGTAGCCCTCTGACTGAAGTGTTTGGTCGGCGAGAGCTGCGCCCTGAGGGACAGTGCCGTGCAGGCCAGGGCCTGTGCCCACCGCACTCTGGATGCCCGGGCCATACCGGCACTGTGCGGCCTGAGCTTTGCCCCTGGGATACAGGCCCCATTCCTGTGCGACCACCCAGTTCGGGGTAACAGGCACAGGGCTGGCGCCCACCAGGACTCCTGACACCCGACAGGCCCGCACCGCTCTCACCTCCGTGACATCGATTGTCAGCAGGAGGTCTGTGATGGTCTGCGGTCTGTCCAGGGCATTAAATGAGACCTGTATGGGGTCCACCGTCTGCTTCTGGAAGTCCACGTTCACCCTGTGTAACACGTTTAAAAGACGAAGACAGAAGAAATGGAGCCACACAGAAGACGCAGTCTTCCTAAGAAAAGGATGCAGCAATGGAAGACCTGGGACCTAGGGCTGTGGGAGGCCCAGGGGCGAGGACCGTGGCCTGTGGTAATGGGTGTGGTGACAGCATGTGAGCAGTGGGACCCTGCACCTCTGAGTCACATGCAGTGCTGCAAACCAGTGTGAGCCAAATAAAGTTAGAAAACAAAAAGCTGGCTGGCCAATGCCAGCTGACCCAAGGCAAGCACCCTACACCAGGGTGCTCACAACCCTTAGTGCCCTGAGAGTCAGCACCCTTGGAGAGCGCTGCAGAGGCGCGAGCCCTGCCCTCTGCGTACACCTCAGAGCTGGGCTGTGCGCTGGCCCCCTGCAGCTGGGGGTGTGCCCTGACGCGCACTAGCACGGAGCCAGCCAAGGGGCACGTGACTCTGTCCCAGGAAGCACCACTCCTGGATTATGGCAGGGAGGCAGTCAGGCCAGGGCTCGGGCAGGGAGCTGCCAGGAAGCACCCCACTCCACACCAAAGGGCGAGGCCGGCCCAGCCGGTGCTGCCTGCCGAGCCCTCTGGTCACGCAGAGCCACCCGGCGGCGGGGGCGGCCAGGCTCCCGCGGCTGCTGTTAGAAGAACAAGCAGCAAATCAGCACAACATGAAGGGGAAATCGTACGTGACACCCCCACGCACAGCTGGCAGGGGCCGCTGAAGGGGCAGCCCCCTCCTGCACCGGAGTGGGAACGGCCGCTCAACCAGACGCGGGCACTGCTGCAGCCTAGAGCCGCCCTGTCCCAGAGCCTCTGCCTGCTCTGCTGACAGAGGACGCTGCCCTGCAGGGAGGAAACGCCAGGGGCTCCTTCCTGCACCGTGGGAAGATGAGGCCGCAGGCCACGAGGGCGGCTCCCACCCCCAAGTACCTCGTATTCCTGAGCTTGGACACCGCGCCTCCTTGCACCTTCCCCTCAATCTCCTCGGCGGGGTGCACGCTGAGCTCCAGGGAGACCTTCAGCTGCGACATCTTGACAGCCATGTACACAGCGGGCAGCGTCTTGACCCGCTCTGTCGGGCTCCGTGAGAACTCCACGAAGGCCCTGAGTACAAGACGCGTGAGCCAGCGCACGCTAGCTCTGCCAGGGGAGGCCCCTCCGAGGGCCAGCGGCCTCGCTCTCTGGCCTGCCGGCAAGCAGCCCTCCTTTTGGACAACCACCCGCTTAAGCACAGTGACTGCGACACGCCGTTAGCTCCCGCCAGGCGGCACCCGCGGGGCACTGGACAGCACCTGGCCACAGAGCGGCGGCTCCTGGGTCCTGGTTCTCGCCTCCACAAGACGAGGCAGGGCTTCGGTTTGCTCCCCAACAGTTGTGAGGCAAAGCGGTGGCCGAGGAGCCCCACCTGGGAGCGGGCAGCACTACAGTGTCCCTCCAGACACCCGCCCGGCTCCCCCGGGTCGGAGGGAATGTGCCACGCCCAGTGTCTGTCCCACAGCCTGACAGCTGGTCAGGACCGGCACAGCGAGCCCCCGATGTCCCCCCCTGCTCCCGCCATGAAGTGCGTGCTCCCCTCGGCCCATGAGGCAGGGCTGGGGCCAGGGGCGAGGCCAGCCTGCCCCCCACACCCTCAGCAGCTGCTGCCTTCCCGTCCCTCCCACCTTGCTGGCCAGGCCACTCCTCGCACGGAACATGTGCCCATGCCTGAGACAGCACGAGGGGGTGAGCCCGTTAAGGCCAGTGGCCAGGGCCAAGGTGGAGGAAGGGTCAAGGGGCAACAGGGGATTTGCTGCCAACAGGAAACCAGGTGTTTTCCAGGCCAGTGGCCACCTCACCCCAGAGCGTCCAGTACCCAAGCAGCCTAAAGAAAGGCCAAGAAGGTGCTGACCGGCCTCCGAGGGTCGAGATTAGGAGGGAACCGCTGCGTCCGCCATGGGGCTGGTCTGCTGCTGCGGAGCCCAGGCGGCGGCGGAGCCCAGCCCGCGCCTGGCAGCTGCCGGCAGCAGACCCCCGGAGGAGGGTCTTAGGCTCCACAGCTGCCCCGGCTCCCTGACCCACTCCCGTTCCTGTCGCTTTCTTCCCGAGGGCTCCAACATCTCCTGGGAGAGGACGTCCTTTGCAGTCTGCTCCAGTCTCTAAGGCCACACCCTCCCATGCGCTTTTCTCACAGCCACGCCCAGGCCCCGCCAGGCTCCTCGTGTGCCCTTCCCCACATGCCAGCTGCCGACGTTCCGTGTCCCAAGGTCTCTGTGCAGGCGAGGCTCAGCCCCTCTGGCTGGTACCTGCCCCCTCTTCCTCAGCTTGCCTCAGGCCCACAAAACAGCTGGGACGGAGCATGTGGAGGACACCGAGTTCAGACCCCCGTCAACCATGTGACAGCACTGACTCCCCACAACCGCCTCCTGGCCTGAGGTCAGCCCTGGCAGAAAAGCCCCTCCCAGCTGCGTTCTGCCCCGGGCTGGCCCCGCACCAGCTTTTTAGGCCCTCGACCTGCCCCACCTGTGCAGCCCCTGCACAGGCAGAGGCTCCCATTTTGAGGTTCAGAGAGAACCCTTTTCAACTCCCGGCCCAGGACCTTTCACTACAGAATGCCCGGAAGCCCAGGGAGTGGGGGTTTCTCACAAGAGGTGCACTGTGTGGACACCTGCTTCACCCCAGAAGAAACACACTCCCCACCGCTCTGAGCCAGCCCAGCCTTTAAATGCTTGGCGCGGATGTATGGGACCGGCACTGACATGCCAGAAACAGGGTTGCGTCCCAGGGCTGCAGGGCCCCGTTGTGACCGAGAAGCTGGCGCTTGGAGGCACCGAGTAACAAGGGGCCCCGGAGGAAAACAAGACACGCACTGCATCCAGCGTGAGGACCGCTGCCTGCTGCGACCTCTGCTCAGCCCAGGCTCCCACCGCGTGGGTCAGTTCACAAACAGCATCCACAGCCCAGGCCGAGGCCCAGCACGTGGGGGCAGAGCGAAGCCCAGCGTACGCAGAGCTGAGCTACGACAGCCCTGAGGACTCGGCTCTCTGTTCTGCATTCGGGCACCTGAGAAAGCCTGACTGGGTCCACGTGTCCGGGAGGGTTGGCCGCATGCGGGGAGGCTGGGCCCGCAGGGGCAGCTACGTGCTCCCCAAGCCAGCCGGCGATGGCAGAGCTCAGGCCTGCTGGGCGCCACCCATGTTGAAAATGGGTTTAGCAAGCTCAATTCAAGTCAACTGGTGGACAGTTCTCAAAAAAATTCAGATTAAGCATCTATTTCCAACACTCATGAAGCTTTTTAAGTTACACATTGTGCAACGCTAAGGGAACCTAGCCCCCGAGAGACGCACCAGCAGACACGCCCACCGAAAGCCGCTCTCCCCCAGAGTGCGCTGGGTTGCTGGGCCTTGAGCGCGTGGGTTGGGCAGCGCCGTCTCCAGACACACAAAGGCCCTGCGAAGGGCGCCCCAGGCTGGCGAAGCTCATCAGGGCCCCTGCCCACCCACCCTGCTCCCTGGGTGTGCCAGCTGGAGGGGACACCGGGGTGACACCAGGCGCAGAGCTGCATGGCGTGGGCAGCTGGTGCGAGCCCCACACCCACACGCTCGGCTCTGAGGCCGGCTCTGGCGGCGAGGGCCCTGGGAGCCCTCAGAGCTGCAGTCACCGACGGGCCACTTACTTCGCGCCGTCGAACACAATGGACTTGACCTGGCCGCACTGCCTGAAGAGTGACTGCAGCTGTCGGTAGTACAGGAACCCGTAGGGGGGCAGGTGCTTCAGCTGCGGAATGGACACAGCCCGTCAGGCGAGGCTGCCCCAGCCCACGCACACCTCCGTGGGGCTCGCTGAATTTAAACTCAACTCTGAACAAAACGCCCAACAAAAAGCTCTGGGCAACTGTGGCCAGAGGCCCTGGCTGGGGGAGGTGCCTCCAGCCCTTCAAGAAGGGGTAGGGGTGGGGGCTGTCAGCATCAGCAGGCCGGGAGGAGGTGTGAGCCAGGCCCCCGACAGCACAGCACTCCCTCGGGGGCGAAGCAGGACCACTCTGACAAGCCTCTGAAGCTGGCGTCTAGCATCCACCTACCACGATGGTTGTCTTTGGGTCTCTGCCTGCCAGCTCCCGCACGGCCATTTCCTCGTCAGGCTGCCCAAATGTAAAGTAGTTCGGGTAAAAAGCGCCTGCCAGTACAACCTGGAAGAGAGGCTCATCTCCATGAGCACGACCGTCCAGGATCCGGCCGCGCCACCCTCACCCAAGAATAGGTCTCTTGGAAGGCAGGTGTGAAGACTGGACCCCACCTGCGAGGTGGGGCACTGTCACCTCACCACATGCTTCTGGCCTGACGGCTGTGACCCCCAACATGGCCCTTCCCAGGGCGAGCCCAGCCTGAGGTCCATGCGGGTACACCCCCCAGCACAGAGCCCTGAGGGGCGGGCGCCGGGTCCCACAGCCGGAGCAGCTCAGCCCTGAGCCCTCCCTTCACAGAGCAAGGGGACCCCTCAGCCTTTCTGCGATTGGACATCAGGAAAATGCTTCTCTCTGCACTGTCTCCTTCATGGGCATCTGCCCGTGTGAACCTCCCCCGCCGGGTCCGTCTGACCTGGCCACAGCCCCCTCAGGCGGAGGCGCTTCTGGGAGCACTGCCTACACTGGCCTGTGCCAGCAGGCTCTGCTCTGAGAAGCTTCAATGCGGTACTGTCGCACGCAGGACAGCAGCATGCAGGGACACGGCTCTGGGCACTGGTGCACGGCGGGGTACCCCAACTCACGGCACCGGGGGTGGCACCTGCAGGATGAAGCGCTGCTTGTGGCTGTAGTCCTGGTCCAGGGCTGGCCTCCGGGACCCCACATGCATGTTAAATTGTGAGATCCTGGTCTTCAGCTCCTCATACAACTCGGCCACCTGCAGACACCGGGACAGTGGCTGTCACTCACCTGTCACCGCAGAGCGGGTCGGGGTAATGAACACTCTCTACCTCTCTCCTCAGAAAAACCTACACAATGTAACTAACAAACCAAATTTGACCTGAAAATACAGAGCAGACTCCACAGCTCCCAAAGTGCGAGGCCGACTCAGGCCCAGCTGCCACAACAACATGCCCAGCACCAGCTGGGCCCCGCGTGGTGGCCTCAGAGGCTGCGGGCCCCTGCTCAGCGGGGCGTCTCTGTGACCTGACGCCCAGCAGTGGTGGCCTTCCCTGAGAGACAGCAGTAGCTGCTGTCGGGCAGGCTGGGGGTGGTCAGCCGCCTCACCCCACAGCAGCACACAGCAGGAACGGAGGGCCTACACAGCCTCGGGCCCCAGTGCCCCAGTGGCTGCCCACAGGTGCAGGGCCAGTCACTACACCCGCGCCTCCCAGCACTGCCCATCGCGGCTGCAGGTAAACCTCGTCCTCAGGCGATAGGAACCACACCCGGGAGCATGGCGGCCTCCTGAGGCCTGGGAGGTCTTCTAGCAAATCGCTGACGCTGACGTGCCCTAAAGACACATGTCAAGCCGCCCAGCCCAGAGAGGTCACAGCACACAACGTGCAGCTGGAGGAGGGGGGTGTCAGCCAGGAGGGATTCTCAGAACTGCACAAAATCACACAAAACATGAACCAACAATTGCACATGTGGTACACTTAAGACAGAACAAGTGTGCTGTAGGTGGTGCGTGATGTGTCCAGTAGGTAGTGACCGCTGACAGCAAGTGCACCGGCCACGCTGGCACATAATCACCTCCGTCAGTGGTGCTGAATGCAGCGCGGCCTCGGCCACAGAGACCTGGTTTGCGGTGGCTCCTGGGCCCCATGGCCGCCCATGCTGGGCCTGGACACGTGCACCGTGACCACAAGCTGACCTGAAGCAGCAGAACTCACCTCTCTAATCCTCTTGATTTGAATGTAATTTAGTCGCCCCCAGTCAAGTTCATCCTGGAACAGAGGAGAGCGTAGCCTCACCCGACATGGCCAGCACTGACCAGGCGGGTGCACCCCCACCAGAGCGCAGTGAGGCCAGCTCCAGGCAGCGCACACTGCCAGTATTCAAGGCTGTCATCCTCAGCCTACTCAGTCTACTCACATTAGTGGGAGGAGGACAAAACTTGACCTTCCCCGCAAAATGCTGTAAAAAGGCTAATGACCGGCTTCTTCAAGCCGTCATCTACAACTGAGCAAAGAGGAAGCTTTCAGGCCCATGGGAGTGACACGCAGGTGCCCAGGCACGAGGCGGCTCCCACGCACGGGCCCTACTGCAGACAGCCCCACCCCAGCCGGCACTGGAACCAGCTGCCGATGCCTGTCTGGTGACGCCTGCGCCGGCCTCTGCACCAGGCCAGCGTCCCCTTGGGGCCGCCCAGCCGCCCACCAGGAATCACAGGATACTCGGCCCTTCTGGGGTGGCGCAGCTCCCCCTCCCAGCCCACCTAGGTGACACGGCTCCCCCTCCCGGCCTACCTTTGGGTGGCGTAGCTCTCCCCGCTGCCGGCAGGTCTGCCACGCCTGGAAACAGAGCAGAGCGTCAGTACCTGGCTGGCCACGGACTTCTTGTAAGTTTGACTTTGGCCAGAGAAAATGTATAGCGTGAATTTTTTCAGTCTCTGTCATAAAGCTGGACCCCAACCCTGTAGCCTCCCGGGGCGTGATGCCTGGAGACCACCCCAGCGGCCACTCACTCTGAAGGCCTCCACGAGTGCGATGCAGTCACTCCTGCTGTTGCCAGAGAAATTGACCTTGTTCCTGCAGACAGAGCGGGCGTCACCGACCCAGACAGCAGAGCGGCTGCCCCACGAGCGCATGACATACCTGTACCCATCGAGATGCTGCCGGAAAGGCATTGCAAAAAAGTTCTTCAAAGACAGAGCCGCAGCTGATGGGAGGAAAGCAGAGGGTGAGGGGCTGGGCAACACCCCACAGCTAACCCCCGCGCTGCAGCACCCACCGATGATGAGGCACTCCTCCAGGCAGCCGAAGGCGTGGCCCAGCACGATGAGCTTGCCCAGCTGTAGGCCGACGGGAAGCTGGGCCAGCACCCTCCCCAGGAAGGTCAGGTCGCCGTCATGGGGGCTCTCGTCCTCTCTCTGCCCACTGACTGCCAGGGCTCCGACCTGAGCAAGCACAGGGCACTCTCACGGTGCGGGGCCTGCCACCCCCCAGGCCAGGGTGGGCAGCAGGACATGACAACCAAATTTTGGTGAATGAGGTTCTGAAAGACAGGCCAACTCTGGTAGGCAGACACATCAAAACACTGTTCTAATTTACTTTCTGGAACCTGGAACACAGGTGATAATTTTTGCAAAAAAAGGGGACACCCAGGACACCCCACAGAGCTGATGACCTCATACCTCCATGCTGCAGAGTGTCAGACCTTGGCCCCAGCGGCTGTCGGGGGCTCCCAGCAGCAACATTAACCTAGCATGGGGGCCTTCTGCGACCTGGCAGGCACGTCCCGTAAACGCAAACCCATGCAGAAACCAATCTGAAGGGCAAGGGCCAAGGCACCCCAGGCTAAGGGTCAGAAAGGTCCTCCAGCAGGCTGCCAGGCAGCCCGACGGCCCTGGGAGACGGACGGCAGTGCCCAGTGCAGACCCACCACAGGCACAGCACTCTCCAGACAGCCCAGGTGCGGGAGGCGAGGGGGCAGGAGCCCAAGCAGCAGCAGCAGCACAGCCTCAGATGGAGAGGGCGGGGTGGGGGGAGGCCGTGGGAACGGAGCGTGGAAGGGGCGGGAGGGAGCAGCACTGCCAGAGTAAGCAAGGGGCACAGAGCTGTACCTGGCCCAGTAGCCTGGCCCTCACGCCCCAGCATCCCCAAGAAACGCTGGCTGTTTACAACACCCTCAACACTGTGAAGAGCACCACATATATCTCTAACATTAAAATTTACTCCGAAAAGTCCCAGCTTTTCCCAACACAAACACCCAGAGCCCGACCTACCTCCTTTAGCAGAAGGATGGTACGTTCAATGTCACCCAGGCTGGGCGGGGAAAGGGCGGTGGCCAGCAGAGCCCTTGGCTCACCCATGTCCAGTAACTTCACCTTCAGTATCGTGCTTCCTAAGGGGCAACGCTGAAGAGAACACGAGTGAGGCCCAGTGCTGGCAGCCCCCACTGACCTGCCCTGCACTGCGGGGGTTGGGGGAAAGAATGACTCTGGAAGAAGGAAGACCCAAGAGGGAGTGCCACAGAAAGGAGGGGTGTCAGCTCCACCTGCTGACCACAAAGACGGCCCCAGCAGGCGCGGCTCTGCCCCAGGCCCCACACGTGAGTCGACTGCAAGCGGAGACCGCGGTGACTGCCCGAGTCGGACCGCACGGCGCTGAGGGACGCCCTCAGGTCCGACTGCCACGTGGGAGGGAGCACAGGCCTCACCAGCATCTCGGGGACGACGTGGTCGGGGATGCAGTTGTCCCAGAAGTCCTTGTGGACCAGTCGGTAGCAGTACCCTCTGGACACTCGCCCCGCGCGGCCTTCCAAGGAGACACAGCCAAAACCTCTGCGTTAGCCCTCCAGCATGTGCCACGCTGCACCCCTGGGCACAGTGGCCGCTTACGGGCTCCTCCCACACAACCCGTGGGAGGCAGCGCCGCATCCCATGGCACCTCGGGCCGAGCACCAGCTTCCACAGCTGCAGTGACTGCCCCAGGCCCATGTCCGGAGGCTCTGGATGCCAGGCGCAGTGGAAGCTGAGACCTTGCAAACACCCTTTGCACAGGAAACAAGACCCAAATAGCAGAGCAGCAGGGAGAAGCGGGGCCACGGGGGACACAGGAGGCTCTGGGGGCAGTGGCCACTGTCCTGGCTTCTCCTGAGTCCTCGGGCCCACGCTTCTGCCAGGGTCCTGCCAGGTGGCAGCTCCAGGTCACGACTCCACACCCAGCTGAGCAGCAGAGCTCCCCAGACACAGAGGTCCTGAGACTGTGTCTCGGCACCCAGCCCTGTCTCAGAGCCCTGGTGAGCATCAGCTTTTAAGTAATGGGCACCAGCCCTCCCTGGTGATGCAAAGGGCACAGCACTGTGAAGCTGTCCATAGCCGCTGCAGCCTGAGTTCAATCCCCATCCAGGGAGTGGCCCACAGGGCACAGCAGACCCATCCTGTTCCCTGCTGGTCCCCTCAACAGTGTAGCTCGGTGGATTCGCCTGTTCTGTTCCCCACTCTGTCTCTGGTGAATTCTCTCAACACCTCCTCACACCTCTGGCCGATACCCCAGTTCTTGTGTGCATAAATAAATCTTTTTTTTAAAATAAAAAACAAAGAAGTCTAAAGTAACGGGCACCCAGGGAGGTGCCTTCCTCCCCCTGCAGAGTCAGGAAGGAGGAGAGTGGCCTGGGCTCCTGCCTGTCCACCACATAGGTGCTGCCCATCAGAAGGTGCGTGCAAAGTCCAGGCTCCCACCATCACCCCTTCCTCATCGGCAACCAGTCAGAAAATTCCAAGGCACCAAAAAATACAACTAGAAACAACCAAAGCAAAATAAAAACCACAAGTCAGTGTGGGGGCAGATGTGCATGGCTCCCCAGGCTCAGTGAGAGCCGCAGTGTGATGTTGACGTGGGTACAGGGCAGGGACGAGCAGTCCATGAGGGACAGCAGGACCGTGCAGACCAGGAGCACCCGGCCACCATCATGTGTGAGGCCTTGGCCCAGCCTAGGGCGCGCCGAAGCCCTGCGGCAGTAACGCAACTCAGGGCGGGGGCCTGCTCGCCAGGCGGCTGTGAGCCTCCATTTCATCACCTACATGTCTGCATTCCTGAAGCCAGGTCAGAACTGCCAGGTCACAGGAGCCCAACCCTACCAGGGACCCTTCACATCAATTAAGAACATAAAGCTGGATACCCGGGGAGGGTCTGCATCACGAGGTGTGACCAGGAATGCCGGGGAAGCTGCTCGGTGGAACCTCATTGACAAGACTGAAATCCTGCCTGGGAGTCAGGGCTGGATCTCCACCCAAGCTGTCAGCAGATGAGAGTAGAGCCCCCTCCCCCTCCTCCTACTTCTCCCTCTTTCTCCACCTGCCCAGGTGACTGACACTGTGGGCCTGGCTTATCAGTAACAAGGCCGGAGCTGGTGATGTCGCCGCCCGTGACTCCCGTCTCTATCAGTGTGGTGCTGCCCAACAACAGTGGTGTCCCAGGAAGGGTGCGGAACCTCTCAGGCCCTGGGGGGCAGGCAGAGCCGAGCCAGGGTGAAAGAGGAGGCTGCCCCTGAGAGGCCTGCAGCACCCACCAGGGCAAGGAGAGTCCAGGCCACACACAGGCACCGGCCCATGCCTACCATGCTCCGCCCAGAAACGAGATCTGCATCCACACCACGACCGCTCCTGACCACACTAAGCCCAGACAAGGAGGCACCTCAGCTGGAGCGCAGCAGCGACAGGTTGTCCAGCAAACAAAGCCACAACCTGCCTATCAGCACAGCCACTGGGGGCATCACCACCAAGGTCCCTCCTCTGACCACAACCACGAGGGGGCACAGCCTTGCACACCCACAGGACTGGAGAGCCGGGGGCCAATGGCAGCGTGGGCTGCCGGGGCTCCCTGGCGACTTCCCATAGGAAGGTTCCCTGTCACGGAGCCCTGAACACACGGAGACACGGGACAAAACCCTGCGCCCCGGGCCGCCTCACCTTCCATGGGCTCTCTGAGCTTGGTGCCCGTGCACCTGCTGTCCTGTGGGGCCAGACTCGGACGCTTGTGCAGGCACCTCCAGAGCGGGCAGCAATGGTGCCTGACTCAGTGACGCCTCTCGCCCCCACAGGAGGTCGTCTTGGGAGAGCAACTGCCCAGTGGTTAAGGGTGTGGCCAGAGCCGGACTTATAGGTTCAAATGCCAGTCCCTTGCCCAGTGGCCGGTCTGGGCTACACCCACTGGCCAGCGGGTGTGTCCTTCCAGGGGTTCTCTTGCGAAGTAAAGCCAGGCCTCAGTCACACCACGAACGCCGCCCAGCACCTTCCCTGGTGGCTGCTGCAACCGGCCCTCCAGCTTGTCCAGTTCAGGACAAGACGCCAGAGGAGGAGTGTGTCTCGGGGAGATGGCAGCTTGTCACGCACGGCCCGCTTGGCTCCTGTGACTGTTCTCCAACGTGTTTATAGGGGCCGTGACGGCAAGAGCCATCTTGTGCAAGACAGGCCTGGGCGCGGGGCGCCAGGCGGGGCCTAAGGCCGCTTACCTTTCCTCTGCTCGCAGCTGGTCTTGGAGGCCCAGCTCAGCCGCAGACTCTGATAATTCGTGTCCTCATCGCAAACCAGAGTTCTAGTCAAACAAAAATCTATAACTGTCATTTAAAAAGAGGAATGTAAGCAACGGGCGAACAAGAGATGCGTGAGCAACATCACGGCAAGACAAGGGCACAAGGAGCAGCCTGGGAGGGTGCCTGCCCACCTGCCCGCCACCCAGGACGGGGCGCCGGCTCTTCCTGAGAGGCTCTGGGCACAGCGTGCGTCTGCACTGCACCCAGGGCGCCGGGACCCGGAGGCGGAGGTCAGGGGTGCGGCTCAGCCTGAGCCTGGCCGGCATCTGGAGAGCCCAACGTCCCACCACCCAGGGCTGTGCTCTGGGGGTGCACTCCAGTGCCCCCAACCCGCACTACTGCTCCACTGTGCCCACCCTCCCTCCTGGCTCCCCAGGTAACAGGACTCCCGTAACAGGACTCCCTGAAACTGCAGAACCCACTCTCAAAACTAGGAACTCCTCCCCACAACGCCCTCACTACCCACTCCACAGCTGCTTCTGGGACAACTCGGTCAGCACCAGAGATGGCGACCCCCAGCCCAGTTTCCAGCAGTTTCCGAACCAGAACCACCTGCCAGGCAGAGAGAGCCCTCAGAAGCCCAGGCTAGGCATCCTGCCACCTGCTAGGTGCCCTCACCACTCACCACTCCTCACTCCCACAGGCCCGCATCCGCACGGCCTTGAAGGCCTGGCTTCTGCTCTGCTCCCCGGGCTCGAGAACACCCCACCTCTGGCTCCAGGGGCTTCGGAGGGAAGCAAGGCAGCCCCTAGCTGTCTGCCCAAGTTCCTGGCCACTGAGCTCAGAGGCCACCAACAGGCAGGTCTCCCCCACCTTAATCGCAGCTCCACTTCAGATCATCTCAGCTCTCACCAATGCTTTGTCCACCGTGCAGCAGATTCTCTGAGCCTCAAGTCCCCACTCCCCGGAACAGAGAAACACCTTGGGGCATCCTGTCCTCTGACTTTGTCACAAACTCTGTGTGTTTAGGGCACTAACATGCCCATGCTGCCAAGCCCCAGAGCCAATTTCAATCTTGTGCAAACATGACCTGCCACCCATGGTGATTCTTCAAGCTTCGGCAGTGGCTGGGAGGCTCCGAGGCCCAAGCCACACGGCACTACCTGACCCCACCGTGCCCTGCCACGCCTCCCTCTGATGGGAGCAGGACCCACGCTGGGCAGCTGGGCTATCACCCAGCATTCCCTGCGGCTCATCCACGTGGCCTCCAGGCTCACAGACCTGGTTCCCCATACTCCGCTGGATGCCCGCAAGCGTCAAAGCTACCAAAACCCAACGCAGCTCCTCACCCCTCCCCACCCAGTGCTCACCCGCTCTTGTGGTTCTGGGCACCTGTCCTGGGGGCTGCTTCGCATCCTGTGGCAGAGCCCAGGAACTGCCCACTTCTTGTGCCATCTGTCCTAAAGCACTACTGGGCCTGGCCCAGAAGACCAGACCCCTGTGGACATGGCTCTTGGCCCCCACTTCCCGCCATTTAGACCCCTAGAAGTCTGCTGACCGCCCCGGGCCTGCGATTCTTGGTCAAGCCCTGCCAATGCTCCTCAGTAGTGTGGAGACTGCCCCAGAGGCCCGTGAGGCCGGCCCCAGCCCTAGGGGCCCAGCCCGCTTTCTTCCTCCCCACTGTGGCCCACACGTGAATGGGACTCGCCCTGCCCAGACCCACGTTCCCAGCCGCCTTCCCCAGCACCCCCCACCCAGCACCTGTGCTGACCCCCGCACCACCTCGGCTCAGCCCACTGTGCGTCTGTACCTACGCACCCCCGTCAAAACACTGCCCTGAGCGCCCCTTGAAGGTGCCAGCCCAGAACCAGACCCGGTCCCCAGCCACACCAGCCCTCATGTCCTCCAGCTCTGTCTCTGGGAGCCATGTCACTGCAGGGCTTCCCCAAGTCCTGTTCACGCTGGGCTCCCTCAAAGGGGTGTCCCTGCACCCTACCCAGAAAGACCGCTTTCCCAGTCCTCACGCCCCCACTTCCCTACATGCCACTCAGCTCTCTGCAGTGACGAGCATCTCCCCACCAGGATGGCGCCGCCGTGAGGACAGGCCTGGACTGGCTCGGCCTATCCTCGTGCGAGTCACACAGTGCCTGGCTGTGGCCTCCCAACAGGGACAAAAGCAGCTGTGAAGCACTCAGGGAGACACCCAGCACTGGCGTCGGGAACAGCTTTGCCCCAGGTGGACCCGGCTGCCTCCAACTGCCTCCAGTGACAGACGTGACTGCGCCCCAACACCTCAGCAGCCGCAGGTCCCAGGCCCAGGGCTCCACCTGGGGCTGCCAGAGCTCGCCTGCCCAGACACCCACGCAGCCCCGCCCCACAGGCCACCATGTGGAATCCAGAGTCCATGGAGGCACCGGGGCCTGAGACGGGAAATGCCGCCCCCCAATCAGAGAGTTGGAGGAAGCTTCCCCTCAGGACAAAGGCCGACAGAGCTGCAGTCGTGTGGCGAGCGCAGGCATCACTTACCATACTTGACATCTGGGACTGTGACCGAACTCTCCGCGATGTTAGTGGACAGGATGATCTGGCACCGGAAACAAAGAGCCTGACGTCCACACTCACCACCCGGGGCACGTCCAGCAGGACGTGGGCAATTCAAGCTCCACACGTTCAGAGTGGCCCCTGTAAGTTCCTGACCCTGACTGCACTCAACCTCTTCTCAGCTCACACAAGTCACACCTGGCTGGCTGCAGGGTCAGAGCGTGGGCTCAACAGCCAGCTGGCCCTACACCCTGGCTCTGCTCCTCGAGCACTCATCTCTCTCAGGTCAGTGGCAGGGCAGCCACCGCAGGTGTGGCGAGGCCAGCCCGAGGGCGCTCATGCCCGGCCTGGCCGCAGACAGCAGGCACCACCAGGTTGTGACTCAGCCATTGCAGTGGACACACACGGTGATGATGTACATGTCCCCTTCACCGTCCATGAGGAAGCGGCGCTGTGGCATCTGAGAGGCAACAGCTACACAGCCACATGGCTCCCACCCAGTGCAGGGCCATGTCCCCCCAGGGCCAGGCCCAGCTGCAGCGAGCCCGACCTTCACTGCAGCTCTGCAGCTGCGGAGAGAGTGGCCAGACGGCTGCACCTGCCAGCTTCAGGGGCCCTGAGATGACCCAGGAGCAAGAGGCGCCGGGACAAAACCAAGAGGAAGGTCACCGTGCTGGGGGCTCAGAGCCTTCTCTCTGGACATGGGGCTGGCGGTGGGCAGGTCAGGAAGGGCTGCGGGAGGCCAAGCCGAGCTCCCAAGCCGAGGTGGCAGAAGCCCTCCTAACTGCGACTGGAACGGAGCCAGAGGCAAAGCCACGGTGTCTTCTCAGGGACACAATGACCCCAGCCTGGGAACCGCCAGAGCCGGGCACGGAAGCCTGAAGCCGAGGCACAGCCCGGCCATGACGCAGCGCAGACTCGTGCACCAGGCACGTCTCTCTGGGCGACCAGCCAGCCGCTGCACCAGCCCGGCACTGACGCGCAGGACAAGCCCAGCAGACACGGTAGCCCAGCCAGCCCTACCTTTCTATAGCCAGGCACTGGGCTCAGAAACACGTTGTTCTGCTCCTCCAAGGTCACGCTGGAGTGGAGAGGGTAGACCTGCAGCCTGCGCCACAAGGAGGGAGGTGAGGTGCCCACCGACAACCGCCAGACACCTGCGCGGGCCGGCCCACCTGCGGGCGCAGCTCCCGGAGACGCACCTTCTGTGGGTCATGTTGACCAGAAGCTCATGCATGTAGTTTATCTCGCCCAGACCTGGAACAGGGAGAGCGCGGCACTCAGCCAAGGGACAGGAGGCAGGGTGGCAAGAGGCCAGGCCACTGGCTCCCGCGGCAGCCGGGCTGGTCGCCCAAGCACAGTAGCAAGCAGAGACAGACGCGGGCTCAGAACAGGGCTGAACATTGCCCTGGTTTTCCTCCCTCGGGAGCTGGAAATTTCACATTTTTCCCATTGATTTCCCCAATTTCCATCACGAATGAGCATGCAATGTTTGCACAACCAAAACAGCACTTTGAAAGCCTTGATGGTAAATACACTTTTTCATTAGGCTGAAAACTGTGGACAAATAAAACGTGTTTCATTTTTTGCTTGGATCAGGAGTCCCTGAGCCACCTGTGAGCTGAACGTGTCTGTCTCCCAAGGATGGTGAGGTCCTAACCCCGGAGACTCAGAATGTGACCACCAGCGGGCAGTGTCCCTGTGGGCCGGCTCACCAAGCTGGGGTCAGGCAGCAGCCTCTTCGTGCAGCATGGGAGCACATCCCCCCCCCACAGATACCCCCACACTCACAGAGACAGACACCTACAGACATACACAGGCAGAAACACCCTACATACACTCACAGACACTCTCTCACACTCACGCAGAGACATAGATACAGGGACTGCAGACCTAGTGTCGTGGGCGCCACACAGTACCTCAGAGACACGTGGCCCTGGCCGTGCCATGACGGGACCTGCCGCCTCCAGAATGGGCGAGAAGAGCCCTGCTGTGTGCGTCTGCCAGGACAGAACGCAGCCCACAACTCGACCAGCACGGCCCCACCCACTCACAGAGCCAGCGATGACCATGGGCGCCAAGAAGGGCCCTGGGCAGAGGGGCTTCCTAGGAGCTCCCTCCTAGGTGTGGCCAAGGCAGCGCCCCCAACCCCCAAGCCAGGGGCCCCCACCTGCTCGGCCCACCCAGTCACCCCCACCCCGCCATCGCCCATCAGCGCCCTTCGCTGGGCCAGGCGCTCTGCTTACAGCTCCCAGTAACAGAACACCTCACGGCAGTCGCATGTCCCACCGAGCTATGCCACGTGACTCAGCAGCCAGAACCCCACTCTGCATGCACAACTCGGAGAGCTTAGGCTAAGCTCCCAGGTGTGCGAGCGCCCCTCTTCCCATGGGCAGGCCTGCAGGACTCCCACAACCCCGCAGCTGCACTCCGCACACGAGCAGCCACTCCCAGGCTCGGCCATGCTGCCAGCGCGATTTAACAGCTGACTGCTTCACTGGAAACCTGGGGGGACGAGGCCACCCCCAGAGCAGGCAGCCCAGAAGGCGGCGGCAGTGGGGGGGCGAGTGAACGCCACAGCGCCGGGCACTGGGATGTCCCTTCAGTGCTTTCATCCCCAGAAAGAACCTACTGCAGGTGGCCATGGGCACGAGCCAGCCTGGTGGCCTGGAAGTGCGCACAGTTATCTCCGAGCCGCTCTGCCGTGCTCATGGCGCCGCGCCACAGGCTGTGCGGTCATGCTCAGGCTCCTGCTGCCAGTGGAAAGTGTAGTGAGAAGCCAAGCCCAGGGGTGTCCGGGTCAGCCACCATAGCCCGAGTGTGGCTCCCACCCAGGGGTGACCAGACCCCACCTGTCCCCCACTGCTCCCCTCAGCAGTGGGTTTCAGCAGACCTGCCTGTTCTGCTTCCCACTCTGTTTCTGGGACGGCCTCTCACTCCCACACCTCTGGCCTGCACCCCAGTTCTTCTTGCAAAAATAAAGAAAATCCTTAAAAGTAACAAAGAAGCCACCCCAAAAGCCACACTGTTCACCTTTGCACAGCTACTGCGCACACTCGCCAGCCATGCACCCACCTGGCAGAAACACCAGCACGCTGCTGCGCTCCGACACGAACTCAGTCCCTGCCCAGGTCTTGGTCCTGTGGGAAATGGAAGGTGCACAGGTCACTGGAGGCTGGGAGAGCCGCTGCCCCTCTGGAAGCCAGGGCCCAGCCTCCCGGCCCGGCAGACACTGGCTGCCCATCCGGTGTACCGGTTCTCCCCCTAAGAAACCAGAGCCACCCCAGGACTAAGGCTCCCATGGCCTGGGAGGCCCAAGCCTTTCATTATTTCCTCCCCCAAAACTACCTGCAAGTTTAATTACTGACATTCCAGCCCTGAAAATAGTCTGCATCTAGTGTAACAGCAGCAAAATGTAAACTCCAAGTCCACGGGCTCTGAGGGGAACAACCACTGGCCAGGGGATGGCGCCGGGCACTGTGCCAGCCCCAGGCCCAAGCTATGCGCCGTCCGCCCTGCCTGGCCCGGAGGTCCCAGGCAGGACAACAAAGGGAACAAGCCAGACACGTGAGCCGTGCCAGACGGCCCCACGGAACCCAGGAGCACCGCCTGCGAGCCCGGCAGGCGGCGGGCCAGTCGCGGCCTTTGAGCACTTTTGATGAACAAGCTAGAAATGGAATTGAGGGGACAGGTCCACTCCCAGGAGCGTCAATGAGAATAAAATACACGATGGACTTAACAAGAAATGCAAAACTTACATTCTGAAAACTACTGTTAAAAAAAGGTCCCTCTGAACAGAAGAGCGCTGTCCCGCCACCCAGAAGACAAGCTGCCCTGACCTGGCGACACCCCCCAAACTGGATCACAAACCCAGCAACGCCTTTCAGAATCTGAACTGGCTTCTTTGCAGTTACTGACAAATTGATTCTAAAGTGCACACAAAACTGCAAGGCACACAGAATAGAATGAAGGTGGCAACACTCAGCCTTCGAATCTCTAAATAACCTTGAGCAAGGACAACCGGAGGTGCAGGGCTGGCGAAGGAAAGGCGTGCAGGTGGGTGGGGCAGAGCCAGAGCCCCAGAACAGCCCACGCGTGCATGTCCACAGCCAGCTGGCCACGCCTGCAGTAGGACCCCGCCTCGCAGAGACAGGCGTGGCAGGGCCGGCCTGGGAGAAAAGAGGGCCTGGAGGCCTGAGCTGGGGACACCCTCTGCTGGGCACCAGCAGCACGCCCCACGGAGGAGAGACCCACAGCAGGGGCCTGTCTACAGTAAACCGGGGTCTCCCAAGGACAGCCGCTGCGGGGGGTGGGGGCACTTGGTAACCCGCACCCGGACATGTGAAGACTGGCGACACCAGCGCAGGACAGGCAGCTGGCACAGCGGGAGGGCGTCTCTGGGCACCAGTTCACGCACAGGGGCTCCAGAGGCCGCCACACAGCCTCGCTCGCCAAGGCACCACCACAGAGACCACACTGGAGGTGGCAGCTCTGCACCAGGTGGCGAGAACAGAAAGCCGCCAGCCGGCGTGGCGAGGAGCAGCCACAACCGGGTCCTGAGGCGTGGCAGAGGACAGCAGCCGGACACCGGCCGCAGCGCCAGGGACACAGCCCACTCTAGCACGTGTCCACCGCCCGCACTGCTGCACGGGCGGGCATGACAGGCCCCCGGCGCCGGAGGAAGCCCAGGTGACACTGGCGTTGTCACCACAGGGGACGTGGGGCAGCAAGCTCTGGACCCAGCCCCAGGTCCGACCCAGAAGGCAGTGCCACGGCTGCTGCGTGTCCACACCGGCTACCTCCGGGCTGCAGATGCTTCAGAGCGGAAACTCACAGTCAGAAACCCGCGGCGCTCAACCCCATGTCTCCTCTGCGAGCACCTCCAGGCCCGCAGACACGGGAGGCGCAGCGAGGGCTCTCACCCACTCTCCTTCAGGTCCAGGTCGTCAAACATCCGGATCAGGGCGGCGGCGACTTCATATGCGTCCTGCGTGATCATCGGCTGCTCCAGGAGGTGAGGGGAGAACTGGACACGGGAAGGAGGCAGGTCGGGACACTGAGAGCAGGTCACCACGCAAACTCGGGGGTCACGAGCGGCCCTCCCACTCAGCTCCCCATGGGAAGCACCCCCAGATCACTGCCCCTGATGGCGCCTGCGCCGCCACAGGCCATGCTGAGGCTCCACGTGCCTGCGCAGTGTCGGGGACGCAGCCTGGGCCCTGGCACAGCATCGCCCATGTGGAACAGCCCCGGGACGCACCAGCACCTTCCGTCTCTGCCAGCCCCTAGCGACAGCAAGGCTCCCACTGGGGCCTGGGGACACTGAACCTCTCCTAGCTGTGATTAAAGGGAAGCCAAACTGACTCTGGGGCACTTAAAACTGCCCTCAGCTGCCACTGCAGGGCACCAGGGTTCACCAGAGCAGCAAAGCCCACCCACTGAGAAGTCCGGTCATGCCGAGCGCCCTCGTGCGTGGCCAGGCCCTCCATGTCAACACCCGCACATCAGGGCCCACTGCACCCACGGCATGTGGGCCCAAGGAAGCCCTTCGCCGCTGGCTTGCAAACGACCCCCACCTGGGGAAGAACGCAACAACTACGAGTCTCCAGGTAAGAAGCAGCCATGTTCTTCCCAACTTTTCACACAGCCAAGAGTCACCACCAAGGCAGAGCACCTGCCCCGCAGCCTGGACAGTGTGCCTCAGGGTCTGCTCCCCATGCCGACATCCCCCAGAAGTGGTTTTCTACTGTTAGCCCAACCACCACCACACACAACTCTACAAAAAAGAAAAATGCACATTGTTCACAAACTCCCACATGGCTCCAAATCCGCGCAGATGCATGTTCCTGCAAGCCACCACAGAAGAGCAGGTCACCAGCTCACAGCCAGCTCTGTACTGAAGAAAAGCCCCCCAGGTATTGGGGGGGGCCCAGACCCTGCCCCCAGGGACGGGCCTGAGGAGGGTGCAGAGGAGGGTGCAGAGTGGAGCAGGGGCTGGGAGGGTCCCGCGCAGCAGAGGCCCGTGATGAAGCCATGCTGCTGCCTGGGCCTGGACTGGGTGGCGCAGACTTGGGGCGACCGTGGGGGGTGGGGGTGACAGCAGCTTTGGTTCTGATTCTGATTTTGCTCTTTTCCTCCCAGACTTGTCTGGCCGAAACTTCTGCCGCTTTCCCAGGGGCCCTGCCGAAGGAGCCTGAGGCCTCTCTGGGCTGACCCGTGTGGCTGGGCCTTCACCCGTGAAGGGTGGGCGACCTCCGGCGCCTGCTTTGGAAACTCAGTTCTTCCCCATCCTTCCCCTTTTCCATATTCGTGTACATACACGAATTGTATTAAGGTTCCTTTCCACTGAAGTTCTCAACATACTGGAGTATGTGTCACCTAGGATGAAGTGGACAGCAGAACCTCTTTAGGACAGGCAGGTGTCAGGGTGCTGCAGTGCCTTCCCCCTGCCCTGTTAACAATTCTACTCGCTCTAGAATCCAAGTCCAGAAAACACCTTTCCCACATAATGCTCATGGCGTTCCCCGTGAGCCCGCCTCCCCCTCGGCCTGGAGCAGGTGGCAGGGAGGCACACAGGCCCTGGGCCCACGGCGGCCACAGAGCGAGGAGTGTGTGGGCCAGCACGCCCACCTAGGCAGGGCAGCCACTGCTGGGGACACCACACAGCAACTGCCTGCAGCAACTGGGGTAGCAGAGGGGACAGGAACATCTCAACCTCCTTCTACCAGCCCCCAGGCCCTCCTGGCGGATTCAGGGCAACTGGGATGGCCCAGCAGGGCACATGCCATGTGGGGTGTCTGCGTGCCAGGCATGGGCAGCCCTGGTGGTCTCGCCATCATGCACACACACAGCTTGCTTCTGTGCCTTTTCAAGGACCCGAGTTCCTTTGCAAGCATTAGAACAGGGTCCTGGACCTTCGTGCAGAGGTGCATGGAGGAAGGATGCGTTCTCTGACGCAAGACAGTGCACTGGAGCATGCGACAGCCAGCTGAAGATAAACCGCAGTGGTGACAGAGGTCCCCTGACTCTGAGACCTCATCACGTGGACATGAGCGAAGAAGACATGAGCTCTACAAGGCCGATGCTGGCGCCCGGGCAGGCTGAGCTCGCTCTCGGGATGCCTGCTGAGCAGCTGGCCGGGCCGAAGACAGGCTGCAGGCAGAAGACGCCACACCGGAGCTGCTGCCTGCTGGACAGAGCCCACCCCAAGGGCTCACAGGTCCTCGGCTTGCCCTGGGAGCCGTGTAAAGGTGTGCGGCTCTGCCCCACAACCCAAGCAAACCTCCAAGGGCCTCAATCATTTTGGTCAATTGTGGAGACCAGACAAGCACATTTCCCACATTCTGAAACTGGTCACAAAATGCAGACCTCGGCTGTTCCTGGTGTCCCCCCCACCGTGAACACGGCAGGGCTCAGTGCCCCCACGCCCCCCGCGTGACAGTCACTGTGGAACCGGGTAGGGACAAGCGGTGCCCGCTGCAAGGTTCTTCCAAAGTGCTGCCTTGTGTGTTGAGAAAGCCTCCCGTTCGCTGTGCAGCTGATGACCGGGGGGCCCTCCCTGCGCCTCGGCCCCACCTTCCCCCGCTGGAGCGCCAGCCCCACCTACTCGGCTATGGTGGATGTGCCCCAGGTCGTCCAGGTAGTGCTCGGTGATGGCGTGGGGTTTCCCTTCCACTTCGAAGACATAGGCAGGGTTCAACCTGTTCTGGACGGGGACGGCGAAATAGTCTGCGAACTCCCTGCAGTCGATGGTAGCCGACATCAGGATGACCTGGGGGTCAGAGGCCGAGCGGCAGCATCACCACAGTGAGTGCAAGGCGACACGCCCCAGCCGAGACGCAGAGATCCACCCTCCACGGCTTCTCCAGGCGTGCCCTCAAGTGATACACGCCACGGCGCTGGAAAAGCCTGCCACGGGTTTCAGAATGGGTCCGTCCAGAACAGAGAGCAGCTGGCTCTGCTCTGGCTCCCCTGGGGACCCGGTGCAGCGGGGCACCTGGGCAGACCCCAGCAGAGGGCCTGACCCCGCATTACTCTCCCTTTTGACTCAGAGACAAATGTGAGACTTGCACTGCCAGAACTCACTTTCCCACGAGCGGCCTGAGGCTGCAAGGAAGGCTGGAGAAGCCAGGGGGCTCAGAGTGGTCCGTGGGGGGTGGGAGGAAGTGGAGGGGGCACCCAGCCTGGGGCAGAGCGCCCAACTAGGCGCACATCAGGGACCCCTAGAGGGAGGGAAGGGAGACCTCGAAGGCCGCCTGTCCAGGGCCTGACAGCAGCTCTTCAAGCAGCAGCTGTTCTGAGGTCCAAGCCCCCATGACAGAACCATCGAGAACTCACATGTGTCTCCTGGCCAGTGACACATGCCACGGGCTCCTCTTTAGAAAGGGTTTGTCCACGCTCTTTTGAAACATTACAGAATCACTTCCTACTACTCATGTGAGAGTCATCGAGTTCCTCATCACTGTTTTCTGTAGTGGGTAAATGTTTTCAGTCCATAAACACCCTAACTGCTGCTTTCAAGTGTCTGTGCTAAAACATAAAGCACACCACTCTTACCCGGGAGCTCCACATGGACAAACCCGTCTCACCTTCACAAAGCGCGAGTTTGTCCGCAGCAGTTTGCGGACGACCAGCAGCAGGAAGTCCATCTCCTCTGTCCGCTCGTGCACCTAGGACCGGACACCGGGTGTCTCGTCAGGTCCAGGAGGGGCAGTGGGGGCCGCTCCTGGCTCAAGGCCACAGGCCGAGCAGAGGCGAGTCTCAGGGGCCCACGCCGGCCCCTTGGCAGTCAGGGTTCACCAGTGGCCACAATGCCCACAGTGCCCCAGGCATCATGCCAGCCAGAAGCGTGCCCGCCATGCCCCACTTAGACCAGCTCCGCCCACCACCTCAGCTCCCTCCCAGCTGCTCTGCTCTGCTCCTGCAGGCACGAGTGACAGAGCAATGTGTCCACCCATGGGACCTGGGGGAGGGCTACAGGGCCTGGCCCTGGAAAAGCTGGATCCAGCACAAACAGGTGAACCCAAAGCGTGTCAGCATCCTTGGCCCAGGGGAAGTGTGGGGCACTGGGGGCTGCCCCATGCCCTGCTCAGGTGGAGGCCGTCCCAGGCCACCCCAGGCCCTGGTGGCCCCAGCCCCACCCTGCCCCAACCAGAAACTGCCTACAGTGGGCCACTGTGACTTTTGCTCCACACAGGGAGGTGACTAGGTTTTCTGCTGAGCACGCACAGAGGAGGGGCGCCATCTCCTCAGGGTGCAGGGCCCACTCCTTACCCCACTGTGAGCCCAGGCCAGGCCCCACCTCGTCTATCTCACCCCCGGGAGCAGGCACACACTGTCAATTCATTCCTCGCTGTCACCAAACGCCACGACCCCTCTCCAACAGGAGAAGACAAAGGCCAGTGAAGCCTGGCAGAGCCCTTGGCATCCAGCCCTGGCATGCCAGCAGCCGCCTTCTTGTGCAGTGGCCCACAGTGCCAAGCCCCCAATCCTGCCTGCCTGCCTTTCTCCGCGGCACGTGAGCACGTACCCTAGGAAGCCACGAGCAGCCCAACACCACCTGGTCCCCGAAGTTCAGCAGGTGGCAGGAGAGAGGGGCCGGGGCGCGCCCTCAAGTGCACAGGGGCGAGGTCATTCTTTCCAGACAGCAGAAAACCCGCCACCCACACTCAACCACCTCTGCCCATAGCCCCCACACTGCTCAAGTTCTGATCACCCCACGCTCTAAGGACCGCATGAGACGTCTGACCCTCAGGTACATCAGCCCATTCCTTCCGCAAATCGCTGTGCGGCGCCCAGGCCCTGGTGGACCAGCTGCTCTCCACCTGGCCAGCGCTTGGCGCACAGCTTCAAGACAGAGCGCAAGAGCAAGAGCCCGTGTGCACCCGACAAGACCGCCAGCAGCAGAAAGATGAGGGATGGGCAGAAAACAAGCAGGGCATCAACAGTGGAGCTCTAGAGCAGGCCCCCTCCCCCCATAAGCCCACAGGAAGCCCCAAGGCTTAGTAAGTGACTCCACCCTGGCTACACAGCCCTGAGCTTGACTTTGCCTCCTGATGTGAAAACACTCTGCACCCTGCCTGCCTCACCCTTATGTCACCCTCTACCAACCGGGGAAGGAACCGGAGACCCAACCGTACCAGCTGGGCCGCAGAGTTCACACATCATTGGAGGACACACCAGGGCACCGAGAGCCGCCCCCCAGCAGCAGCCCCAGGACTCCCTCTCAGCCCATCCCTCCCCCCCAGAAGCAAGCGGAGCACCATTACTGGAGAGCTCTAGGCAGAGCTCAGGTGGAGCCGTTTCCCAGGTGCCTCAGACAGTTTCTGAAAACACCCCACACCTTAAAGAACTTGTTTAAAATATAAACAAAATCAAGTTAGCATTCCACTCTCACAGAGCAGAGTCCAGAAACTCTCTCATCCTTGCCTCAGAGGCAGCAACCAGCGACCAGTCAGTGACTTCTGGGCCCCCACCCGCCCACCTTCTGGATGCTACACTGGAGAGGCAGACCCACCAACCCACATGGCCCTGGGGCCTGGCCACCCCCGCCCCCACCCAGCCAGGGCCGCAGCCAGGACCAGAGCGACAAGACTCGCAGTGAGACTTCAGTCACAACACAGGGGTCACGCCTGCCAACCCCACTGCAAACAAGGGGTCCCTTTTGGTCCTCAACCTCCCGCCAAAGCCCCAACCCAAGCACACATCAAATCCGGAACCCAGAGCCAGGAGCCCACCTCATCAATGAAGACGTGCGTGAACTCTGCCAGACTCTTGGCACCCACCACCTTCTGCAGCAGCACCCCCGTGGTCACGTACATCAGCTTGGTGTCCTCTGTCGCCACCTTCTCCAGCCCCACCTCAGCCGAGGCAGGGAAAAGAGGACATTTTTAGTTTGAGTGGTTCATGCTTAACGACCCAAAGAGGCTACGTCATTTTGTACCGAAGCTAAAAGGAATAAAGAAATGATTGTAGATCACAAAAACAAAGAATCTAAATTAAAACTGAAGCTCACAAGCCCCTTTTTTTTTTTTTTTTTGAGGGACTGGGGCCTGCCTGCCTGACGAGCTCACATGGTCTGTGTTGCTTTTATGTGGAAAGACATCCTGACACAAAGAAGTAGTCAAAAGGATAAAGCTGTAAAAGTCTAAGAGTTCTTGCTTCTTTTCTCTATTCAAATGGGAAAGAGATTACAGTTATTTTCAAAAAATTCCGAGTCTCAGATCTTTAATGGGCCGTGGCTCTGTGCCATCAGCAACAGCTCGTTTTCACCCCCCGCAGCACACAATCACCTCCAGCACCCCACACAGCGCCCCACGCAGCCCACCTGGTAGCCCACCAGGCCACCCAGCGTCCAGGCACGCTCGCGGCTGATCCACCGAGCGATGCTGCTGGCCCCAATCTTGCGCGGCTGGGTGACCACGATGTTGCAATAGGTAGAGCGCTGGAGGTGGTGGTCCAGGACATACTGTGGGAGCTGAGTGCTCTTCCCACTGCCCGTGGCGCCATGGATGATGACCACAGAATTGCTCTCTATCAAAGACATCACCTAGGATTTAAAGCAATTTTTTTCGAAACTGCCACAGAATCATTAGCCATGTAAATGTCACCCAAGAGCCAGCAGCTCTCTGTGAGAGGGCCTGCAGGGTCTGCTGCCTCGCCCCGTCCCCAGCGAAGCAGTCACCGGTCACACCAGAGGCCTGGTCGACGGCTGTGGGGCCAGGCCTAGATAGCCCCAGCTCTGGCCCTCATGTCAAAAAAGGGAGCTGCCAGCCTGGGTTCTGATAGCGCCTTCTGAGTCTACACTGTCCTCTGATGTGTTGCGGTTCCTAACTCCGCCAAGGACGCCCATGGAGTGGAGGCGGCGTCCCGTGTTCCAGCGGCGGCTCCAGACCACGCCAAGACCACCAACTTGCGCTGCCCACTCGGCCTGTGCTTGTGACCCAGCCCTCCCCCTCCATGCTGAATCTACGTAAGCCTCCCAGCAATGCCACACAGGGTCAGGAAAAACACCCAAATTTGCACGTTGGTCACAAAACTTAACAAAGTATACCCAGCCTGCACGAGTTGTGAGAGTCAGTCTAATGCAAAATAAGAGTTGTATTTGTAGCCTTACAGTTTTACCTGTAACTGCTTCTTCCTCTGGTGTCTTTAGTTTCAGCACATTTAATAAAGGAGCTAATTAAAAACAATCTTCTGAACTCACAGTGAATCTGGCCTGGTCGCGTCAACAAAACGTGCTGATGACGGACCAAATCAAGCCGCCACAGCAGAGCCCGCAAAGGCCTAGGACAGCCCAGCACCGTGCTGGCGAGGGCGGCGTGCTGAGCCTGCAAAACCACCGGCGGGGCCGCCTGGTGAGGGGCGCCTGGGAAGAGGGGAGAGCTTGGGGAGCACCTTCCGAGGAGGAAAGCCAGGGTGACACCCTGGATGGCAGGGGGCTGGCTCAGGGGAAAGCTGAGCCAATCAAGACCATGACCTTGGAGAGGACACACACACCACCTGGACGGCCCACCTGCTAGCCCAGGTATGCACGCTCGGCACCTGGTGACCCAGCCAGGGGGGGACCCCAGGCACCGACTCAGCAAGATTACACGATGAGAAAATACTTACCTCTTCCTTACATCGATTTATTGGCAAATCAGGGTACTTGTAAGTTGTCTCCGGGACACACGTCATGTTGTTTAATTTAACCGAGGGTGGCCGAGGACCTGGGTACGGACAAAAGAAACACACGCAATGCTGTTGCCCTCTGGCAAAGACAAAGGCGGTCTACTCAGTTTACACAAGACATACACACTCACAAACCTGCACTCACACACCCCAACATTCATACATACCCCCACATTCCCACATACTCACATACCCCATACATGCCCACTCAAATTCACTCACACCCCCACAAAACACTCTCACACACCCCCCCACACACACGCTCACGCGGAGCCGACGGCCCAACGGTCCCGAGACTGAGCCGGCCCGGGAGCCTTCAGCCCTGACCCCAGCCGAGCGCGCCTTATCATCCACGCGCGGCGGGAAGGGACAAAGCGCAGCCCACACATGACAACCGGACGGCTGAGTACAGCAGCGGGGGGGGTGCGCGGGACCTTGGGCGACAAGCGTGGGCCCTGCGCCACTGGGCTGCACACCGGCCCCTAGTCAGCCTAGGGGCAACTCGGACTGTGGCGGGATGCCGCGCGTGGGGGTCTGGCCTCCTCCAGTTTCAGCACCCCATTCGCCCCCCACCAGCAGTCATGCCCAATAGCCTGCCTGACAGCCCTGTCCCCGCGCCTGCCCGGCTGCCCTCTGGCTACTCGGGGCGCTGCACGTGCTCTCCTCCGGCCGGGGCAGGGGGGTCTCAAGGCGCAGCACAATGGCTCCGAAGGAACGATCACCCCAGGAGCTCCTCTGTGCACCGTACTATTCCCAGGCCCGCTCACTCTCATCTCCTGGCCCCCCTCCCACAAAGCTGACACCCGTCAGCCAGGCTCCCGTTCTCCCCGCCGCTCCCTTCTCACCCTCCAGGAGCACGCGCACCTCCGCCTGCCCTGAGACTTGACTGCACTGCCTTTGACCACCCACTGCACTTAATGCATCATCCACCGTGTGAACAATCCGTTCCTTACAGAAGGCGCCAATGCCCGCAGTGGGCTCGGGGCTCCAGGCCAGCGCAGGCAACACTCCCTGCTATCCATGCGGTGGGTGTGTCCGTCAACAGGCCCCATACCCAGGGGGCAGGGCGGGGGCACCCCAGCATGGGCTGCGTGGACACACTAACTAACAGTCTGTCGTCCCCAGACTAGAGCTCTTGCTTTGAACAGACCCCTGCCCCGATGACGCCCAAGGAGAGCCAGGCGCCGACGTCATCAGAAGCTGACCAGGCCCAGCAGGCCAGAAGTCCAAAGTCAGGTAACGGAGCTGACAAGGGGACTGGGGACTGACCACGACGACACAGAAGCACCAACCACGACGGGCTGTTCTGATGCGCCAAGGCACTGGTGGCGAGTGGTGGCAAAGGTGGGCGCAGGACGCCCCTAGGGTGAGGGCCCACATCCGCAAGGCTGGCAGCTACCTGAATGGGCACAGCATGCACTGGGCAAGGGCAGCGCCCGAGATCCACAGCAGGAGGCCAGCAGAGGGGGCAACCACAGCAGGGCCGGCAGGCACTTCCAGGGAAAGGCTCTCCCAGGGGAGCAAACGCATCGCCCTTCCTCCTCGTGACACGGCCTGACCTTCCCGGGCTGCTGGCTGCAGAGGGCCTGTACCCACGTGAAGCCAGTGTCGGGAAACAGGGCCGTGGCCACAGGCCCCTGCGCAGTCACAAAACCACACACCAACACAGAAGCAGCACCTCGGTTCAGCGCTCGGAGAAAAGGAAGTGGGGTTAGGGAGGAGGGGGTGACTGAGGCAAGTCAACACCGCAAGGTGTCATCCAAAGCCATGTGGAAAAGGCCTCAACCCCAAAATTCGTGCCCATTCACGGAGAGTGTGAGCGACACCCCCCCCACATACGTGGCCAGAGCTGCCTTCTCAAGACCAACTCTGTCACGTGGCACCTCTCCCCTCACAAGCACTGGGGGAGAACCTTGAACCCCCCACCCCAGCTTCCCAGGAGAGTGGCTGGCACCACCAGAGTTATCTGGGGCCAAGGTGCAGAAGCCCCAAGGCCGACGCTCAGTCATGACACTGGAGCCCGAGCCCAGACCAGCTCACTGACCCCTACCTCACGGCCACTGGTCCTGCTAGCAACGGAAGGGTCATCTCCTGCCTGCCTGCCCGCCCAGGGCGAAAAACCTCCCGCAGACGTGGCGCCCTTCCCACCGCGCTCTATCCTTGCTCCTGTCATCACAGCCCCCGCTCCGGGCTCGCCCCTCCTCGGGACACCGGCCACCTGGACGCCCTCGCCTCCGCGCGACCTTCTCAGTCACAGCCACAAAGCCCCCTGCCATGGGCGATAACACAATCACAGGGTGGGGGGATCGGCTGCCCAGGCCCACCCAGCGCAGTCACTCCTCTCACGGGGCGCCTGCCCACCCCCCAGCTCTGCTCAGATGCCCTGGCCTGAGGCCCCAGAGCCGTCTTTCAGCAGTTTTCTGAAGAAGCCTCGACCAGGGCCACACGCGGCTCCCCAAGAGCTCTGGGCGCACCTGCCCCAGGTCAGAGTCTTTGGCGACCGGGACACCTCGCCGCTCGGGGTCAAGAAGGGGCCCCCAGGATGGCACCCTGGCGAGAAGCAACCATCGCCTCTCTGATGCTGCTGGAGGATGCTGCCATCATCCAAGCACCAGCGTGCAGGCGAGATCCACACCCTGCCCCTGCGGTCATGGCCTGTCCGCGCCCCAGGCAGGCTGCGACTCTAAGCACCAACAGCCAGGCATGAGCCAACGCGGGCCCCTAGGCCCCACCCGACTGGTACCAGCAACACTGGCCGTGGGGCTGCAGACAAACAGTGGTGTCCGCGCCGCGAGGACACCGAGGAGCACAGCGTGGAACCGTGGCTGAGCGTGGGCACCAGGTAGGGCCTCCCGCAGGAGGAGCGAAATGGCAAAGCGCTTCTTCAGGGCAGCCGCTGCCCCAGGCCCAAGGCCAGCAGTAAGGAACCAGGAGCCCCATGCGGCCAGCACAGCCAGCAGGGAGGACCTAGGCGCTGGGCAACAAGAGTGCGAGGCGGGGCCTGGGGAGGGGGCAAGGCCGGCCCGGCTGGCAGAGCCCAGGACACCAGTGCCCCAGTCAGGGGGCTCCTGGAGCTGGGAGGGGGCTGCCCTGTGGGCCACGGTGCCCGCCCAGGCGCTCCAGCGGGCCTGGAGGAGCTCCAAGCGGATGGCCGGCCCTGGGAGGGCTGAGGAGGCAACCCTGTGTCCTTTCTGCCTTGCTGAGACCAGTCACCTGACCAAAGGCATGGTGGGGTGCGGGGCCGCTGCGACAGGGCTCACCTGGCTGGCTGGTGGCGCGGGTGGCGGGGCCGCGCAGACCCAGCTCCTGGGCGCGGAGCTGCTGGTACCGGTCGATGTGTCCTTCTGGGCGCCTCGGGCTGAGCGGCCTGCGGAGAACAGAGAAGCTAGGACCCTGTCCCAGAACCAGGCCCCGGATGGGGGGGGTGGGGGGGTCCTGAGAGCTACTTCATAGTAGGCCACAGGAGAACACAAGTGGGCAGAAACACGAACACACTCAAACTCATGGGCGCTGGGGGAGGCGAGCCACAACAAGAAATTGTCTGGCAAAAAGGCGGCGGGGCCTCTGACTGCGGGCGCCCCCCCCCGACATGGCAGCCCACGGCCCACGCCAGGCCTGCCCACAGCGAGCTCTCCCCCTTGAAGCCGCTCCGCAGCCCCTAACATAGGAGCTGTCTGGCCGCAGCCAGCTCTGCGCCCTGCTCAGGAGCCCGCGGGGAGGGAGCTGCGGCAGGGAGCCCAGCCCGCCACTGCCCACTCGCCCTGACCGTGTCGCGGTCTGCAGCCCCTCGACAAGGACCCAAGCTGTGGCGTCCCGAGTCAGCCTGCCCTGTTCGCGGCCGTGTGACCCAGGCTGTGCCTCCTGCAGGAACGTGGGGCCAGACAAGTCAGGCCGAGCCGGGAGACGTGGGCTTGAGCAGAGGGAAACGTGGGAGTGGACCAGCAGCAGGGCGGAGGGCCAGGGGTGGCCAGTCTCCCAACGTCCTCCTTGCCGCACACTGCTGCGGCCCTGGAGCCCACGACAGCCGCTGCGGCAGGCGCGACTCCTCCCGGCGCGCACAGGGCTCAGACACTCTGCTGTCTCACAGGCCCGGCCTCCAGGGTGGCCTGGCTCACTCCCGGGGCAAGCAAACGCCCGCGCTGCCCGCCCTGGGTGAGACACGTAACGGCCGCTCGGCGGGCGGCTTCACGTGCTCCAGCCGGATGGGGCTGGCGTCTGCCCTCCCGCTCATTGCCCCACATTGGTCTTTATTGAATTTACAAGTCTCGGGCGTGAACAGTGAAAGTTTGAACCAGTTTGAAAACTGGCTTTCCTTAAGAACTGTCTTTACGTATGTGTGCGTACCAGAACAAGGGTGCAGGCCAGAGGGGCTGGGGTGAGGGAACGCCCCAGAGACTGGGGGAGCAGAGCAGGCGGAGCCACTGAAATCCGCTGAGAGGAGCAGCCGGGAGACAGCGGAGGTCTGCTGCACCCTGCGGGTCACTCCCTGGCCGGGGATGGACTCGGGCCGCAGTAGCCCCTGCACAGCGGGAGCCCCCTGTACACTGCTTCGTTAAAGCACACTGAAACCCATACTTTGCTCCAGACAAGACCGATCGCCTATCTAACACCCCAAAAAGCCACTTCAGTGCCAGACTGTTCTGCTGGTTGCAGGGCGTGGGACGTGGGCAGACGGCTGAGGCAGCGGTCGCAGGGAAACAGGCGCCGAGACGAAAACAGTCGCTCTGCAGCTGCCGAAGTTCTCTGTCCCCTCCCTGCCGCCAAGAAACAAACTCGTCAGTTCTTGAAACAATCCACGAGGCTGGCCCAGGCCATGCACTAGCACGGGCTGTGCCTGCCACGACAGTGACCTTGGAAACAGCAAGCCCCGCCAAGCGGACTCGCAGGGGGTCGGTGTTTCTATCCACCTCAGCGGGACGTGCTCACAACGGGTGTCCTTGGGAGATCCCCGAAGGCCCACGAACAGAAGAGGTACAGCAGCGGCCTCAAACGGGCAGGACGCACCTTCAGAAGCGCAGGCT